CTTTCAGTAAAGATTCTTTTTTCTATAAACATTTTACAATATGAAATATCAGTAATAACGTTCTCTTACAGCAGAGAAAAAAGTTTTTATTTTTGCAATTGTTCCATACTTCATCACTTCTCAGGCTTGACTTTTAAAAATATTCCAACAAAAAAAATCAGTTTTAAGAGTGCATCTAAGGTGTGATTGCTAGCCTGTGTATGATGTCTTAACTATTTGCTTCTTGGGTTTACCAGTTTACAACCACCACAAAATTATCAAGGAACATGTGTGAATATTTTACAAATGGGTCTTCTTTATTTTTTCAAAGCCTAAATTACACTCTTAATTATCCTAGCATTTAGAAAATTACTTTTATCATTACTTGGTCATTTGGCAATTGTAAAAGTATAAAATTGGCACTGTGTGTTAACCATTCACAAAATTTAGTCTTAGGCCACATGATTTTAATTGCTTTGCATCAAAAAATAGTATTTGGTATGTAATGTTTAGCGTCTAGACGCTAGACGCTAAACATTATACTTACTGAACTTCTTTCTAGAAGAAAAACCTCTGGGCTCTTAGTAGTATAAGCTTGTTCAAACCGTCCTTTGTTCTTAATTTGTACTTCTTCTTTTTGCTTTCTACCATTTCTTCAAGTTTATTGCATGCATTTACAGATTTATACGTGCCTTCTAGTGATACTATTTAGTTTGCATAATTATCATCCTCATTACAGTGACTACTTGGAAAGTCTCCTCTAGCTTCTTCTGTACTTACTCTCCCTGTAAATTTATCTACTCCCTCAGCTCAGCCACCTTTACTGAGGCACAGCTACCATTTTGCTAACTGACAATGGTCAGTATCTCTCTCCTCCATTAGTCCTGCAGTCTTTAATTCAGGTCTTTAGCCACTAGTTTCACCCCCACCCCCAATTTATCTTCAATGGAATAACTAGAGCAATCTTTCCAAAGCTGCAATCTGACATCATTTTCTGCTTCACATTCTTCAGGGGGTTCCCGTTGTTCTTAGATGGTCACCTAATCGCACACACTAAACTTAGCCACTGAATTGTTTTTAGTTCCTCCGTGTCCACTGGGTATTAATATGTGCTCTTCATACTACCTAGAATGAAGTTCCCCAACCTTTTGCCTCAGTGATTTCTGCTTATCCTCAAGTCTCCCCTCAGGCAGCAGTTCAGAGAATCTTCTCTCAGCCCCTTTGCTGGCCTCCAGAGTGGTTTAGGGATGCAGCCTCTAGCCTCTCCTAACATCCCAAACTTCCCTTACTATGCTGTTTGTCATATTTAATAGCACTTGATGAGCACTCGGTGTTTTATGTAAGTGATGAATCACTAAATTCTACTCCTGAAACTAATGCTATACTATATGTTAACTAACAAGAATTTCAATTAAAAAAAAATAGTATTTACTTTCTCTAGTTGATTCCTGATCTTTGTCCTTCTGAAGAATTAGTATATATGTATTTCATTTAGGGACTCATGTTTTGGAGGAAGAAGACTCAACAAGGCCAAGTATTGAGCCTTTCTTATTTACCATGCTTACCCGTCACTTCACAAACTCCAAGATGCATTGGACGTGCTAAAATAGTCAGTGGGGCATCAAAGAGGCACTTCAGATTCATAAACCCAAACCTCTTCCTCTTCTCTCCTCCCTTCCCCACCCTAGCTTATAGCCTTCTTTCCTTTCGTCTGTCACTGACATTTCCAAACTAGATCTGCTCTATCCCTTACTACCTGCATCAGTCATTTATCAGATCTGTCTCTTCTGTTTTCTAATAGTTCTTGACACTACTCATTCCTCAATTCTTGTTTTTCCCACAACTGCTTTATCTCAAGCCTCCTATCACTTCCCACCTTGTCAATTACAGAGCCTTCTACTTTACCTAATGACAGCAGTTTAGAAGCTAAGTACATAACCATTTTGAAAGCATTATAAATAATTTTTAGTCTCACTGTTAAAAATCCAGAAACGAAATTTTTTTTCTTCTGATTTATTCTTCTAAATAAACAGTTGATGTGTGTGTGTGTATGCATTTACCTACTTAGGGACTTTGTTCATTTTCAGGAATCAGAAAAACTGTTATTAAATCAACTATATACAAATAAAATTTTGTAAAAGATTCTTAGTATGAAAGAGGGGAATCTTTTTGTGCATCAGTAATGAAGGTGTCACTTTTTTCATATAATATTAAATGGCAGCTATGTCCTATAAAAGAACTCACTGACTTACTGACCAGTCATCCAGAGCAGTCATTGTCTCTGGAAGAAGCTTCCCAAGTGCGGTAAAAAGTTCAATTAAATCCTGAAAGTGGGTCAAGGTGGAGTAACAGGGACTAGTTTTACTTTCCCTCTTGAAACAATAAACACACACATACACACACCTGAACAAAATCTATAAAACGATGGTTGCAGATATTGGACATCATGCAGTACATGTAGTGATCCCTGAGAGATAAGCGTTAAATAAGCCGAGTGGTGTGATTGCTCTAGCTTATTGTCTAGAAAACATTTCCAGTCCTTAAACCGGAAAGGGGAAACCCAGGAGGAGCCCATTGGTCTCCCTGAGTTGAGAAGATGGAATTAAGAGTTTGGGGAGACCCTGGGGCAAGAGTTAGCAGGTTGGGGGCCAGCGAAAGGAGAGCTACACAAAGAGAGCTCCAGAGATCTGCAGAGGGGCCCTTTCCCGTGCTCAGCTGCGTACTGATGTTCCGTGAGTACAAGGAAGCCACAGGAGGTGAGAGAAGAACCACTAAAAAGAGGGTTAGAGGGAACAGCTCTGACGGGTCACATGGTGTCTGTGACTGTGTCTGTTGCTACCAGCCAGAGTGGACGAACCTCTTAATTCATCAGATATCACGGGCTACTCAGAAGGGTAATAAATACCTCACTAGAAGAGGAAAATTAGTCCTCAACTAAAAAGGCTGCTCCGAGCCTGTTTAACAAAGCTTAAAAACAAGCTTTTTTTTTTTTTTTAATTTTTTTTTAATGTTTTATTTATTTCTAAGAGAGAGAGAGAGACAGCGTGAGCAGGGGAGGGTCAGAGAGAGAGGGAATCACAGACTCCGAAACAGGCTCCAGGCTCTGAGCTGGCAGTCAGCACAGAGCCCGACGCGGGGCTCGAACCCACGAACCGCGAGATCATGACCCAAGTGAAAGTCGGACGCTTAACCGACTAAGCCACCCAGGTGCCCCTTAAAAACAAGCTTTGAAAGCAACCTACAATATATTATCATTGGAGTCCCTGAAGGAGAGAATGGTGGGAAAGAGGGCAGAAAAAGTATTTGAAAAAATGATAGCTGAATGTTTTCCAAGTTTGGTGAAAACTATAAAGCACAGATCTAAAAAGCCCAGCTAGTGCCAAGCGTCACAAAAGGAGAAGAAGGAGAAGGAAGGGGGGTGGGGAGGAGGGTACACCAATATACCTCACAGTCAGGTTGCTTAGAGCCAGTGATACAGAGAAAATATCAAACCATCTGGAGGAAAAGCACACGTACAAAAGAATAAGCATACGCATGTTGGCAAATTTCTAGTCCGAAATGATGCAAGCCAGAAGAGAGTGAAGCAACATCTTTCAAATATTAAAGGAGAGGGGGAAACAGTTTTGAAAAAACTTGGTATTCCCTGGCAATTTTATTTCCAGTAACATTTGACATGTGTCTGAAAGCAGACACTTGGATGGGCAAGTGGTTTGATGATACAGACATTTTAATCATCTATCCTGATATGGCATTTTGCATTTTAAAAGTGTTTATGTATGGGAGAAAACTTTCTTTCAGCACATTTTTGAGGTAGCTAGGATGGGTGATTTTCTGTCTGGGTTACACATGGAGAGGCTGAGATATATAGGTAATACGGCTTTCACAGTTTCTAAGACTCAGAAATAGAATCAGGTTTCCTGACTTCCCCTTCAAGACTCTTCTCATCTACTCAATCTCCTCATTATTAGCTGTGTTCCCTCAAAAATATTTCCTAAACTTAAAGACTGCTGGAATATACAACGCGCTGTGAAAGTAGTAACAGAAAGTACAGTATTTAGTGATTGTTTTGTATCTTGATATTTATAGTATATGAAGAGAAGAAATTTAAAATCTTACTAAATACCAAGGCCCAAATAGAAGACAGGAAGAGATGAGAGTACATGAAGGTGTATGTTAGGCCTTGGGTGAAAAGCTGTTAAAGTATTTAAACTTTACGTAAATGAGCAAAGGTGGGAAAATTGCAGTGGTTGCAGAGAACCTTTTCATTACTGTTATTTTGTTTTTAAAAAAAGAAGCAAGAAGTTTGATTATTTTAATTACCATTTTAAATATGAGCAGAGATTCTTTTAATAACTTGGTTCAAATTAACATGGCAGAAATTAGTTGAGAAGAAACTAGATTTTTTATATATGCCGCATATAGTACATAAAATAGAAGAATTAAATGCTATGTTATATTTCATTGCATCTGAAAGAGCAAATTAATTTTGACCCATTGCTAACAGCCATGTGCAATGAATATGGTCCATTGTCCTTTTTGTTCGCCACTAAAGTTTCTTCAAATTGTTCTTTAGAGAGGCTTCTCAACCTCTGTACTTGGGAGAAATTTTGAGAGCCAGGTCTTTAGGGAAGTCCTTATGGTTGAACTGGGATTTGAAGTTGAGCTTGAAAAGTGGGCAAGGTTTAAGTAGGATAAGGAAGAATGTTTTTGGTCATAACATGTCTTCTCAGAACACTGAGGATGGTTCCTGATGGAAAGAAGTAAGAAATAAAGTAGAGAAGGTAGGGCACTGAAGGCCCTAAAAGCAAGTAGGAGAAATGGGTGAATGACACTGAAGGTAGAATTTGCCCTGAGGTGAGTGAACGGTCTCTCATCCAGTTATGAAATGTGCCTTTCTGGCACTTTGACGCAGTGCTTTCTGTGTATGTTAGAATGTATTGTGTTTCAATCTAAATAAACACAGGTGAAATGACAAAGCGAGAGTGATTTACCTGAAGAGAGAATGTGTTTTGCTTTTCTAGTCTACACCTCTACATCTAGCGGCAGGCTACAACAGAGTGAGGATAGTACAGCTTCTTCTCCAGCATGGTGCTGATGTTCACGCAAAAGACAAAGGGTAAGTGTATCTGTTTCCTTTTTTTTTTTTTTATTAAAAATATTTGTTTCTTACTGTTTATTTATTCATGAGAGACAGAGAGTGCGCTAGTGGAGGTGGGGGAAGGGAGGGGCAGAGAGAGAAGGAGACACAGAATCTGAAGCAGGCTCCAGGCTCTGAGCCGTCAGCACAGAGCCCTACGCAGGGATTGAACTCACGAGCCGTGAGATCATGACCTGAGCCGAAGTTGGACGCTTCACTGACTGAGCCACCCAGGCGCCCCTCAGTTTATTTCCTTTAGTGGTCTTACCCACGGCCTGTTATACTTTGTTTTAGCATCTGTTACACTAAAGCTTTTGCTCACTGGACAGAGTCCTGTATCTCATGACTTTGTAGTTTGTATAGCATTTTAAGAATGTTTACAACTTCACTTTGACTTCATTTTCATGTTCTACTCATTGAAGATGCTTTCACATAGTAACTTCCAAATTAGTTCAATTTTATTGCAGTTCTATTATTTGACGTTAAATTTTGCTTTTCTCAATTACATTGATTTTTCAACTCAAGTTGCATTTCAGAAAGGGAGATGAAACAAATTGAAAATTCTGATAATCCCGTAATGTAGTTGTCCTGTTCATCTGGTGTGTAAGGATCATCTTTTCTTAATAAACCAAAATCATAAGTTTATAATAATCTGATTTGGCTTTTATCCTGATAAAATCTTGGACATTCGAACTGAGAACATTTATGAAGGTTGAGGTGGGAATGGAGGGGAGACGGACAGCTAGGAAAGCAGTGAAATCGTTTACTTTGTACCAGTTTCTTACCTCATCTTCAGAGGCATGAATTAAGTCTGCTCCTATGAGATGGGCTAACATTTCTCATTATCCCACCTTCAGTTCTAAAAGAGAATTGACCTTAGTACCCAGGTGATGTAGATCCGTATTACACGCCTGTCATTGGCAGCATAAAGCAAAGAAGCCCTGTAGGGAGGAGGCTTCCTTTTACTTTGCCCCTCGCCATGTCAGGAAACATTAGAAATGAAGAAACAGCTCAGTACCTGAGACACTTACCAGGGAGGGAATCCAACATTTTGAATCATCTTTTTGGTACTGTTTCTCTCTCGCCTGAGTTGTGCCCTAGGTGAACAGTGTCCCCATAATACAGGGGCACAAGTGCCTGATGCTTCTCTGAAAATAGATGGGTGTACAATAGGTGAGTCATCAAGAGAAGTACACCACAAAAACGGGATGTCTCTGACTCATGCCGAATGAGAGTTGGACATGCAAGTCATAATAGTTTGGATGTTTCATTCTTATGCCAGCAGTTACCTTCAGAGTGAAATAAAATGGTAGGAATATTTCAACTCACTATCAATTAATATTTTTCTATAAATATGTGATCTTTAAAGCAGGCAGTTGTCATTTAGCTCATGCTCTTTTACCTCGATGCTTTCCTAATTGGTGTTTTATCATTATATGTAGGGATTATGTACACAAAGCACAAGATAGATACAAAAGGGTAAACATTAGCTATGCTTTGTATCCTCTTATTAAATGTTTTAAAATATTTTAATATAGGGGTGCCTGGGTGGGTTAGTCGGTTAAGCGTCCGACTTTCGCTTAGGTCATGATCTCGCGGTTCGTGGGTTCGAGCCCCACGTCGGGCTCTGTGCTGACTGCCAGCTCAGAGCCTGGAGCCTGTTTCAGTCTGTGACTCCCTCTCTCTGACCCTCCCCTGCTCACGCTGTCTCTCTCTCTCTCTCCTAGAAATAAATTTTAAAAATAAATAAATAAATAAATAATAAAATATTTTTATATAATTATATTTGGATTTATTAGTTTTTGTCTTTTAGCATTTAGATAAATGACTATATGTTGTTTGTTTGAAATTTTAGTACTTTCATTACCTTTTTTTTTTTCCATTTAGTGGACTTGTGCCTCTTCATAATGCATGTTCATATGGACATTATGAAGTCACAGAACTGCTACTAAAGGTAAAAGATATTTTAAAATATTGAATGCTCTTTGCTTTTTGTCCCCCTAACTTGTCATGAGTTTTCATGTGTTTTGGGGGCTAATAAGAGTTTTAAGAACATAAAATGTTTTTTGAAAATACTACTGCCTTAAAGTTTTCAAAACATTCAACTTATTTTAAATTGTTTTAAAAAGCTGAAATTAACTAAAACACGGTATTACTGGCATCTCAGTCACATCTGCAACTTACAATGAAATAAACGTCCTCTGAGTTTTACTCGATCTGGCGAAACTGTCACTGACCTGAAACCGTTTTTCTCCATCCAGCACGGAGCTTGCGTCAACGCGATGGACCTCTGGCAATTCACTCCACTCCATGAGGCTGCTTCCAAGAACCGCGTGGAAGTCTGCTCTCTGTTGCTTAGCCATGGCGCTGATCCTACGCTGGTCAATTGCCATGGCAAAAGTGCTGTGGATATGGCTCCGACTCCTGAGCTGCGGGAGAGGTTGACTTGTATGTATTTATATCTCAAACTCAGTATCGCTTGTTGTAAATTGCAGTATCTCACTTTTGTTTAGCTACTGGTATTTTGTCCAGCTTGAATAACCTTCTGTTCTTACCCGTGCCCTAGTTGATAATCCTCCTTTCTGATCCTGTACTTTTCTTCTAAGGCTAATGAGGGTGAGTCAATCAATGACCATATCTTGCATGCTTACTGTACACTGCAACTATGACAGTGTACAAACCAGGAAAAAAAATTCTGAGCTCACAGAGCTTATAAATTCTTGTGCTATCGAGCGCTCACTGTTTCCCAGGCCTTGCAAGGTTGCACAATCATGTTTGTGTTTCTTATGTGGGTGATAGCCCAAGTACAATCACTTGCCCCAATTTGTTTTTTTCTTTTAATTTTTTAAAAAATGTCTATTTATTTTTGAGAGATGGAGAGAGACAGAGCATGAGTAGGGGAAGCGCAGAGAAAGAGGGAGACACAGAATCCAAAGAAGGTTCCAGGCTCCAAGCTGTCAGCACAGAGCCTGATGTGGGGCTTGACCTCAAGAACTACGAGATCGTGACCTCAGCCAAAGTCGGATGCTTGACCAACTGAGCCACCCAGGCGCCCCCCCTATATGCATGTTTTTTAGATAAGCTTTTTGTTCTTGGAATAGTTTTGTATATTTTTTTAAGGTTTATTTATTTTGAGAAAGAGAGCATGCATGAGTATGAGAGTGAGCTGGGGAGAGACCAAGAGAGAATTCCAAGCAGTCTCTGCGCCGTGAGCACAGAGCCCAGCATGGAGCTTATTCTCACAAACCAGGAGATGGTGACCTGAGCCAAAATTAAGAGTCAGGTGCTTAACAGACTGAGCCACCCAGGTGCCTCTGTCTTGGAATAGTTTCTGATTTACATAAAAGTTATAAAAATAGTGCAGAGAGTTCTCATTTACTCCATGTCTAGTTTACCCTCTTACTAACATCTTACATTAGTATGATACATTTGCCATAATTAATGAACTAGTATTGATAGATTATTAACTAATGACCATATTTTACTCAGATTTCCTTAGTTTTGACCTAAAGTTCTGCGTCTCTTCCAGGATCTCATTCAGGATAGCACATTACATTTAGTTGCCCTCTCAAATACAGAGGTACATTTAATTCTACATGTGGGCATTGCAGATTTAAATTAAACTAAGGCATTACTTACCTAATATTTAACTGATCCCATGGTTGTCATTCTCTCCAAAGATTCTAAGAGTCAGGTAACTGGATTTAAATGCCTGAGAAAAATCTTTAAATGATACTTTAAGAAAAAGAGTAAAATGGTGATGTCATTTAAATTTAAGTAGATTTTAAGCTGGTTTATAGTAAAACAGGAAGACTTGCAATTTTCACTTTAAGTAGAAATTTAAACTTACTTTGGTACCGACACAGATGACATCCACTATTTTATAGGCCAGCACCAACCAGATTGTAACTAGCTAGGTGTCTCAGCAATGAATCCTCGTAGAAACGCTTTTATTCTCTCTGCCACTCATATGACCCTTGCTATATGTTATCTTGCATTATATAGTTCATTCTTCTGTGTGCATGTTCTGTCTTCCCAGTGAAATTTAAATTCTCGAAAGACTTTTTGTTTCATTGTTGTCTTCTTAGCACCCACACAATGCCTTGTTACCTAATAAAAATATGTTGATGGTATTTGTGTCTGGGTCTCTCTCTCTGCCTACCCTCAGCCCAGCACAGTTCATTGTGCATACTGTGCACTGCAAGTTTATTGAATTGAATTTAACTCAAAACTTTTTTTTAATCTTTTTTTAATTTCCTTCTTTTTGTTTATACCCTGGACTCAGCTTTATCTTCCCTGTCACCTTTGACTTATTTTTCCTTTCAAGCATTTTGCTCATTGTGAGTACTGTTATATGAGTTTTTATAGTATATTTCACTGGGCTATCTGATTCCAGTATACACATTATGATTTAATGGAAATTATGTATATAGTTTTGTAAAAGAAGTTCCCTGATTAGAGTACTTTTCAACCTTCCCAATATTTCTTTTACTTTCTTAAATATAACTCCACCAAGAAATTATCTGAAGAAAAGGAGTTAACAAAATTGGAACTTCTCTGTGATTTTCATCATCATACCCACTGCCTTACTCTAGGCATTCACAATTACAGAGTTCTTAAGAAAATTATACAAGGGGGTGCCTGGGTGGCTCAGTCCAGCTTCTGACTTTGGCTCAGTTCCTGATCTCATGGTTCCTGAGTTTACACCCTGCATGGGGCTCTCTGCTGTCAGCACAGAGCCTGCTTCGGATCCTCTGTCCCCCTCTCTCTCTGCCCCTTCTCCATACTCTCTCTCTTTCTCTCTCTCTCTCAAAAAGAAACATTAAAATTTTTTTTTTAATTATATAAGAAACAACCAATATCTTGATCATACCCATGGTTATAGCATTTTTATTACACACATTTTTTTTCTCCTCTCTCTCTTTTTTTTTTATTGTTTCCATGAAGCCAAATGAACAAGGCAGTTTGGATTCTGCATATATTAGAGTGAAAATACTGAATGTAGCTTTCATTCTTGTTTCAAAATGCACTTGAAGAGGAACTTTTGGGGCGCCTGTGTGACTTAGTTGGTTTAAGTGTCTGACTCTTGATTTTAGGTCAGGTCATGATCTCATGGTTTGTGAGTTCAAGCCCTGCATCGGACTCTGTACTGGCAGTGTTGAGCCAACTTGGGATCCTTTCTTTCTCCCTTTCTCTCTCTCTCTCTCTCTCTCTCTCTCAAATAAACTTTAAAAAAAAAACAAACTTATATGGCATCTTGTAAGTATTAAGTTTTGAGGGTAAGTTTGAGTAATTTGCAATTTTACTGCCTTTTCTGCTACTTAAGTACTTCCTTGAGGTTTTAAAAACACACCTTTATGTAACCTTTACATTTGGAGGGTTCATTATATTGTTGATAGATTTTCCATTTTCTGGCTTTTTTTTAATGTTGAGTATACATCAATAATATATTTTAGATTTGAAAGTCAATTTGGGTAGAAATCTTTACTTTTTCCTAAAAAGCAAAGATAAGGGAGATTTTATTTCTTGTTATTTGAGAAAATAATCATTTTGTTTAGTTGCATTGTTCCATGCATCCTAATTTCTTAATTTCCTTAGTTTTATAGTTATATTATTTATGTTTTTCATAAGTTTGCCCTGAATTTTTTTTCTGAGGCACCTATTCTGAACTCAGAGTAATTGAAAAAGTAGAATTGCTTGTATCATTTTGATAGTCATAGAACATTTGTCACTAGAAAAACAGCCGATATGATTTAAATTCAATTTAAGTTTCCTCAGACTGATGGCCAAAGCAAAACTGTACTTTGTGTTTGAAATCCGTTCTCAACACATCACCTTCCTTTGCAGTTGCCAGGATCCTATTCCTGACCTGTGGCAGCTTGTAATTCTTCCCCTTGATTTATCCCTAATTTTTCATTAACATGAACATCATTAATTTTGTTTTCTGAAAATACTGGTTTACTTTTACTGCATTTGACCTCAACTTTGACCTTCTGAAGTTTCAAAATCCTATACTTTCAGGGATTTAGCAATGATAAGGTATCACTAAATAAGAGCTTTCCTAAAAATGGTTTTTCCCTAGCACCTGCCATGACTTATTTTATAAATATTGAGCATTCATGCAACATTGAATATGTAATATACTGTATACAAGCAGTGTGCTTAAGTGATAGGACCACCGTAGCAAATAAGGCTATGTGATTTGTCCTGTGATACAAGGCTAATGCAAGTGCAGGTCACTTCATAAGAAGGAATCCTAGCCCAGTAATGGGGAACGTCAAGTAGGCCTATCCAGAGTATCTAAGCTGAGACCTTGAACAATGGTAGTAAGGGGTTTTTTTCTCTTTTTTAAGGTTTTATTTAAATTCCAGTCAGTTAACAGATAGTATAATCTTAGTTTCACTAGTAGAAGTTTGTGATTCATCACAGTAATAGGAGTTATTAAGGCAGATATGTTTCTGTGTGTGTCTTTCTCTGTCTTTTGAGGGACAGAGGGGAGTGAAATGGGGAACCCAGGAGAAGAGAGAGGAAAAGAAAGGAATTTAGTAGTAGGCAGGTGCAGAGGCCTGTGTGGGCTGGCCAGGGATTGCTATGTAATACATTAACTTACATATCATTTGTATCTTTTTAGAAGAATTTCCAGCTTTTTGTCATATCCAAATACAAACCAAAATTGTAAAATAGAAAATATGACTGTAAGTTTTTAATTAGAATACTGGATTTTTATTTAGGCAGTTAATTAAGAAATCGCAGTTGAAAAAAATCTCTTATTTGCTTACACAAATAATAAAGAAAATATTATTTATCCTTTAAAAAATTATCAAACTCTTGGCACTTCCCCTATAATTCAGTTCTTTCCTTCTCTGTGCTAAAACTATTAATATTTTGGTGAATATTTCTCTAAGTGCCTGTTTTGTACCATTTCTTGTATTTAGTTGTGTGGTAGCAGTGGTAGTGTAACAGTATAAAAATATGGGTCAACCTGTCATTCCTCTTTTGCTACTTGATTTTTTGTGTAATTATATGTATTTTCTTGATAGTATGTGCAGACCTATCTTTTTTGTTTATTATAAAGTATTTCGGTGTATATGTTTAGAACCGGCTTCCATTTGGTAGACATTTTTGTTGCTTGTTTTAAAACTTAGCTGCAGTGAGTGTCTTCGTTTGTGTGTATCTCTGTGGACTCGGAGACTATAAAATGGTTTTATTTTAGAGCATACATTTTTCAGAATTTTTCATTAACTGTACATCCTCTGCACCTTTATCGTCCTACCATCATGTTGCTGCTATTGATAAAATAGAGTCATATGTAAAATTGATAATTTTCTTACTTAATCATAATCATGCTATTGAGTTTTACAGATTTTAAATCTTTTATGTCAACCATTATTTCATTGGCAGATGAATTTAAAGGTCATTCTTTACTACAAGCAGCCAGAGAAGCAGACCTAGCCAAAGTTAAAAAAACACTTGCTTTGGAAATCATTAATTTCAAACAACCACAGTCTCACGAAACTGCCCTGGTAAGAGTTCATTGTTAATCCATTCCTAAGGTCTGTAATAGCAGAAGCACAAAGTATGGTTTTCATTTCAGAAACCTTAAGTAACTTAGTATCTGAAATGCCAGGAATTTCCATTTTAATGTTGGTTGCATTGATTTTTAAATTTGGTTCAGGAGATGATTGCTTTCATGCATGAGAGAATAGACATTTGCTCACACTTGACTTGGAAATTATTTTTACCTTTGTCTTTACCCAACTGTATTAAAACAAATCTACTTTTGTGGCCAATTCTTTCATAAAATACAAGATGTGATTTTCTCTATAGAATCTTTTTCTTATCGTTGCTAGGTAAAGACTATTTGTCTTCTATAGACTATTAAAGTATTTTCAGAGGTACTTGCATTAATCTTTGGAGCAGTTATCCAAAGAATTAGTCTTAATTCTACAAAGAATTACTACATTCATTATAGAAAAATATTAAGATTATGAGTTTTTTGTTCTAGACTATACAGATTGTTTTTTTAAACTCTTCATATTTTTTCTTCTAATGTACTTTCAGAAAGATTAGCTTATTTTTCTTGTTAGTGATCACATTAAGTTTTAGAAATAGGGCTGATAAAATTATTCCTAGTCAGAATTTTAGCATATGTGATGCCTATATCACAGACCTCTAAATATGCTTCAGTTAAAATTCCCAAATTTAGCCGGCACAAAAAAGTCAACCTGTAGTCAATACCTGCTGAAAACGACATTAAAAGAGTCATCAAACCGAAATGGGCCAGCTGTATGTATACTTAAATACATGCTCTCTAACTGGGGTTCAGAAATTACACAGCATTATGCCGGGACATACCCAAAGCAAAAGAATAAACCTGGCCTGCTTTTTTGGAGTGTTCAGTTTATTCATTAGTTAGTAGGTTTTAACTCTTAAAATTTTATATTTTTAAATGTGTATTTATTTTGAGAGAGAGGGAGAGAGAGTGAATTGAGGACAAAGAGAGAGAATGCCAAAGAAGGCTCCGCACTGCCAGCACAGAGCCCAACATGGGGCTTGATCTCACAAACCATGAGATCAGAACCTGAGCCGAAATCAAGAGTCAGACACCTAACACACTGAGCCACCCAGGTGCCCCTACTCTTAACATTTTAATATAAAACAAAGTTGAATACAAAAACTGTATAAATATAGGATAAAACATTAAACTTCTAAGAATACTTCTTCCACTAAACAAATTCAAGTCTATTACCTTCTTGCCTGTCCCTGGGCATATAGGCTTATATAGAGCCAGGAGTGGCTCGGGGGAAGATTTTGAGCACTATTGATTTATGTGGCTGACAACCCAATGAAGGATTGACCAACTGAGGTATAGAAATTTGTACCTTTGGAGAGGCAGTATTCTGTTACCTTCAAATAAGTATATTCTGGATAATTATGTATTGGCCAAAGGAAAAGGAACAAAGTCTTTCTTATTTCTTAATGCTTTATCTTGTTTTAAAGACCTGTGTCTTATACTTCCAGTGTATTTAGGGAGAATTCATTCATCTCCATAACACAAAATATATAAATAAACATTTTTTGACATAACAGTGTTCTAAAGAGTCAGCAGATGCTATTTAATTTAGAAATCTGCTTTCACATAGAAGCTTATTAACTTAGTTTTTTTGCTTTACAGCACTGTGCTGTGGCCTCCCTGCATCCCAAACGAAAACAAGTGACAGAACTATTACTTAGAAAAGGAGCAAATGTTAATGAAAAAAATAAAGAGTAAGTGCAGTCGCAGAAGGAGATGTTCAGTTCCTAAAGGGGAAATGCAACAAAAGCTAGGACATCACCTTTTCCTTCTCTCTTCTCTGTAGTTTCATGACTCCCTTGCATGTTGCCGCAGAAAGAGCTCACAATGATGTCATGGAAGTTCTACACAAGCATGGAGCAAAGGTAAGACGCGCATCAAAAATAAAATGCCAAATTTGGAATTTAGTAGCTAGCTGCTTTTAATACTGTTACTATTCTCTCTGATTTTCCTGGAGACATTAATTTTGTAAAGGACTGTTACCATGTATTTGAAGTCATCTCTTCTCTTTTCGAGCTGATTTAAGTCTTGTTACTAATAAAAATAATTACCTGTGTCTTACTGTACTTTAACATCATTCTTCTGTAAGGCAATAAAACGTAGCTCCGATCTTACCAGTTGAAATACATTGAACTTTGTATTTTACATTAATACTGGAATTGATATATTTTGATAGTCAACATCATTGATGGTTTATCAGAGAATAATTTATGTAAATGATACTCAAAATATTGCTACTTACTCTAAAGAACATTTTTATTCCTTCAAACTGGTAATGATAATACTTTTCTCCAGTAACCTCAACACTGAAGATATGTGAAATTTGGGGGTAACCATTTTTGTTGGCATTATCTATGAATTGCTATGAATTGCTTGAGGGAGGAAGGAAGCAAACCGGTTGTTTTTCAGAGGTGATTTGAATGTGCATATTTTTACATCCTCAAGAGTAGTTATATTTTTAAAGCAGAAGTCTTCAAAGTAGATACTTTATGGAATATACAAGATGAGCCATTAAGAATAGGAAAAAATAGAATTTTAATTGTTTAAAATCATAATTCCCTTATTTATGAATAAAGAAGTTAAGATCTAATATTTAATACAAAGATTGATGCTGGCTCCCTCATTAGGTCTGTGTGTCAGCCTGTCTGAGTCAGTTCAAGATGTTTCCTCTGAGGAGAATGGGAGTCTGAGTAGTGAGGGGCTGACACTGACAAACTTACTCATCTGTTCAATTCCAGCATGTTGTGACATATTGCACTTTACACCTGTCCACATGAGTAGATTTATGGGTACTATCCTAAATGGTAGATCCTTCATAAATAACATTGTTCGTAATTCAAGGGAATGACAACCTGATAGCATAAAGAGATTGTCTGGCTATTTCATGAATTAGTATTTTCAAGAATATTCATTCTTAGTTCTTGTGCTTTTTTTTTGTTTAATGAAAATAAGAGGGTTCAAAATTTGTTGTCATCTATGATGACAAATGACTACTTGCATGTAGATATTTTTTACTTGCATATAGGTACTTTATAAAAAAAACAGAAACATAATCAGACCCTTAAAGGCAAATATTACATATTTTAGAGTAAGTAGGAAAGTGACTGCATGTTTAAAGAAACTTTAAAAATAAAGGGGACATTTTGAGAACAGATTTTTGGAAAACGTCCACTGTTTTGCGATTTTGTTGCCAAAAAAATGATGTAAATGTATCACCCACCTGTCGTATCTACATATAATTTAAAAACTTGAAAACAGAATTTTCCAACCTGTTTTAAAGTCTTTCCTAATTTGTGTTTAGGTGGTTTTTGAACCTATTAGAAAACACCAAGAAGGATGGAATTTTACTAGCAGAGTTTCAATTAAAACCTTAACATAATTAGTAAATTACATTAAAAATAAGCATTGTGGTGGTACCTGTGTGGCTCTGTCCATTAAGTGTCCAACTCTTGGTTTGGGCTCAGGTCATGATGTCATAGTTTGTGAGTTCAAGCCCCACATCAGGCTCTGTGCCTATAGTGGGGGGCCTGCTTGGGATTGTCTCTCACCCTCTCTCTCTCTCTGTCCCTCCCTTGTTCACTCTCTGTTTTTCCAAATAAATAAACTTTAAAAAAATTGTTCAAAAATAAGCATTGTGACTTAGTAGGCATTGCTAACAGTGCACTTTTCCCAGTGGCTCTAACATGTTTCTCTTATATCTTTTGAGCTAATATGGTCAATGGTACCAGCTATTGAAAATGAACTTAGAATCCGACACTCAAATCTACATCACAATTTTTATAAGATTTTTAGTTTTTTTTAACTGAGCCAGAAGATATTTTGTACATTAGTAATTAAAATATTTTTAAATTTTTAATTGTGTCATCTCTTTCCCATCCTTTGTAATTTCTTTTTGTATAAGTTTTATATGTATCTATTGTGTATTAGTGTAGCATTGCTTCTTACAATTTACAAATAAACACATGTGTATATTGAAAGGGTTCTCAACACATTTTTTTATTCATAAGATTCAGAGTCCAAAAATTTAGATATCCTTGCTTTAAAAGGACAATTGGTATTTTTATCTAAAAAAGTCAGGATGACCTAGAATGAAAGGGAACATAGTTCTACTGATTTATTACTTATTTTGAGGGTACGACTACTGCATTGTTTTATAAATAATGTCTTGTTGCTCCGTCAAGCAGAAAATACTAAGCTAAGTGGACTCTCTGCTACACTTAAGAGCATTATATGTTTATCATTGACCTATTTTTAAAAACAGTTTATGGCATTTATAATGTTCTTGAAAGCCCGTGAACAATGCCCTTCATTTTTGAAAGATATCTATTTGTTTTCTCCCATGAGTCATTTTATTTTATGGCGTTTCTGTGAAAAATAACACTGTTTTCTAAGCTCTCCCAGTCCTCCTTGCTCTAGCTCTGTGGTTCTCAATCTTATTCTGCTCCTTATGTTCACAGTATAGTCTCATCAATAACGTCTCAATTCATCAGTTTGGTATGTGCGACTTTAAACACTCTGTCGGTGATATAGAATGACTTTTAGACTAGTTGGCCCTCCTTAGTCTTTCCACTGCAGCTCATCCAAATCGAGAACTCCTACTATTAGGCCCTTTAAAATGGAAGATAAATCCTGTTGAATCAGGGTTCTGAACCAATAGATAGCAGTGGCCATCCTCCCCACTCACTTACTCACTGGTTCCAGCGCAGGCTGCTATCCCTCAGGGTTGGTTTATTTGGTGACTAATGTGTTGGTAAAAACTCATTTAGCTACTTTTGAGCCCCATTGTTTGCTTGCTCAGTGTTCTTTCTGGAGAACTCATGGTTTCAGTTTGATTTTTAGACAACTTACACTTCCCATTTGATTCTAAAACCACCTTCCTAACAAGCAACACCACCCTTGGATTAGAATTCAACCCCCTTACACCGTTTCCACCATCCTGCCTCCTTCCCTCCTCATGTCAAGTTCCTAGATTAAGGCTAATAAATCAGAAAAGGCAGAGATTTGGATAGGGAGATCTAATACCATGAGCCAGTCTGTCTTACTTTGACAGATACAACTTAGTAGTCTTTACATAAGCCAAAACATTCTTTTGCTCAAAGCTTGATGATAAAGTTCAGGTTCACTATGCATGTTAAACTAAACATATTGGAAATATAACATAGACAAGCATACTTTTAAGTGTACAGTCCTCCACTTTCTAGTTTTGTGAACTTGGAATTAATTTCTGGAACCCTAATTGACTCATCAGTGATATGTATGTGTTAATACCTCCTCTATAAGTAATTGTGTGTGTGTGTGTATAAAAATTAAATGAGCTTATGTATATATAAGTATGTAGTATAATACCTGGCATATAAGCAATACTTTAATTACTTGTAAATATGAGCACTGTATTTTTCCATGTTTGTCTTTTCAGACATGTATTACGTATTTCCTTTAATCATCTAAATTTTTATGTAAGGTTTATATATCAGTTCCTTTATAATTTGTTTTGATCTGTTAACTCAAGAAATACTGAGATGCAAAATGATTAAGACTGTGTGCTAGATACTGTAGAAAGTACCAATTTGAAATGTATGCAGTTACCAAATTGAAGCTAATCCTGATTAGTGGCATTAGTAATGAAGAAGGAACAGAAAGATGAAAGCCACTTATGAAGGAATAGTTATATATGTGGAAATGAATCAGGAATTAGAATGGATTTAGAAAAGGGTGGTACAATTCAGGGAAGTGAGAAAGCTAGAGAGAAATACTAGTTTCCTATGCCCTGATAATTTTGTACTGAGAGTTGATATGATATAGGGACATTTAGATATAGCCAGTGGTTGGAAATAATGCCCTAGAGTGTGAAAGACAGTCTAGAGTTAGAAAGACCTTTTTGGAAAGCCATCGACATAGTGATCATGCATAACAGGGTCTGTAGAAAAAATATAGAGAGATGGGTTGAGAATTTAGGAAAGGACCTTTGTAGATTACCATGTTTGAAGGGCAGCAATGGGAAGAGAAAACTGAAAGTTCTATCACAGTGTCTACTGAGTGCAATAGAAGTATGAAGAAGGAACAGGTGATCGGTGCTACAGAGTGAAATCAAGGTAGGCAACGCCGTTTTACTTGGCAATGTTTATGTAAAAGCTTTGACAACTTTCAGAGGAGGTGTTCCAAAGATACAGGGGTAGAGAATTGTATTCGTTAGGGTCTTGGCAATAAGCGGCACACTCAAAATGGGTAATTTGAGGAAAGTTTAATAAAAGAATCATATACAAAGGTGAGCATGGTTTAAGGATATGAGCAAGGGATAGCAGCAAGTCGGAAGACATTATCATCCCTGGGCCTGAAGGGACAAAGAAACAGAAGAAGGTAGCTATTTGGAGAAGGTCCCCTGACACCATGTGTAGACTTTGATGGGGGTATATCGGGCTCCTCCCCCTCACACCCGTGCTTCCCACCAGTCTCTTGCCATTCCCTCCCATTGGCCAAATGTAATAAAACTTAAAGAGCAAAAGGACTTGTTGATCTGATCCACATTTTTAAGTGAATTTCCCAGGACATCGAGCAGGGTGGAGGATAGCTAGTTATCTGGATAGACAAGCAGGCAGTATTCAGAAAAAAGATAGGAAACAGATGGCTTGTAAAGAAAGGAGGGCTATAAGAAAATGGGGGTATTAGCCAACTCATTTGAAAAATCAACTTTTATAGTGGAATAAATTTCTATTTCTCAAAAAGATTAATTATCTCTACCAACCCCCAGCTTTGTGAGACCTAAAGCCTAAATGGGAGAGACATGAAGACTTTATCCTTCATGTGGCAGTTTTTTCTTTATTATTGTTAGTCTCCCTTGACATTCCATTCCTACAGCTCTGTCTGCTATCATTATTAAGTAGAACTTAAGTCCCAATTGCATATTGGTATTATTAATGCCTAAAAATGAAAGGTTTAATTCAAAAGTGCTTTTTTTTTCATATATAAAAGTACTTGCTATTTTGTCATTACTCAAGCATCTGTTAAATGTGTGGAACATGGAGAAATTTCTTTCAATTGTTCGTTTGTCTTTATTGGACAGATTTATTTATATTATATGTAAGAAGAAATTGTGTCAATAGTAATTGGCATTAAGTGGGCTTATTTCTCACACTGAAAAGCGATGAAGAGTCTTTGCTCACTTTGGGGAAATATGTTAGCTCGTAATAAAGATCTGATTAATGCTATTCAAGAGGTGGACTGATAAGCAGTTGCTATTAGCCCAAAGATGTTAAAATGCTTTCAAAGCTGTAGATGTAAAGTATCTCTTATCGTTCAGCTGTCTGCAGTTTGAACATGTCAACGCAAAGAGCAAAAGGGCCAATGTCTCAGAGACATTTTGGTTACCAGTAACAGATCAACTGAATCTAGATTAAGCACAAATGGAAATCTACTTCTATAAATGTATGCTTATTACGTTTCTGAGATTACCCATATTGTTATCCCATAGAAACAATCTACAGGAATTATAGCTGAGATCTACAAAAGACTAGAACAAGGAATTTGGAAACTATTGAGTACCTCGACTGCATTCTCTATCTGTGTGTCTGTCTCTCTCTCTCTGTGGTCACTTGGGTTTCTTTTCTGTGTTGGTCTTAGGTCATCTGCTTCATTCTTTTCCTGTTTTACTTCTCTATGGCTTAAAAGTGGGCTTGGTAGCCCCTGTTTTATGAGTCTTTGGCTTAAAAATCTAACACCTGCAGCTGTTGTCTTTCCTGAGTCTCAGAGGAGAAAGGGAGAATCTGAATGAGATTGCAGTTTGTTCCACACGGCCATTGGATTGGCTCCCACCCATCCAATCAGCTCTGCTCAGGGGGTTGTCTCTCACACAGTTAGGGCACATGAGGTGAGTGCCCTTTTAATAAAGCAAAGAAAATACATACCATTATAATATATCTCTTTTGTTAAAATTCCACACGAATTTTGAAGGTTTGCAAATAATACACTCGAGGTCAGCTAGGAAATGTTCAAGGATTAAGAACCTTTTAAAGTAAAATATTGATTACTCTATCAGAATTTGAGCTAAGAATTAAATTATGGTCATTTTTGTCTATTTCATTCCTCACAGGAGAGGCTTTAAAGATGTCCATCCTACTTGGATAACAGTGCTCTGTAAATATCTGTAAAAACTTTAAATTATACTCTTACTACAGATAAAGTAAGTTAGTTATTTTCAATATTATACAATTCTGTCAACACTGGCATTTAAATTTTTTTTCCCTTCAGATTTCTACGGAAAGAAGAATACATATTTTCTGGTTAGAGAATATCTTAAGAGTCTGATGTTCACGTAGTATACACACTTAATGATTTGTGAACCATTTATTCACCAGCCATTTTTGAACACCCAGCTTGTACCAGGCATTGCACTTGTTACTGTGGGGTATATATGAAGTTTCAATTTGATCAAGATGCTCTCTTAGGGGCCTTAAAATCTAGTAATAGTCGTATCTACTATAGTCAACTTGAATATCTATCATACAAATTGGAAAGTGATATATATAAGAGAAGTATGGGTAGATTGCTATTCAAAGATCAGTTACTTCCACTGGTGGTAACAGGCTGGGGGAGAGATTGTAGACATTTCACGAAGAAACTAAGATTTCAGCTGGAAATGTCCAGGGATTAGATATATAGAAATTGGCAAAATACAAACAATATTTCAACTCACGACTCAATCAAGAAAGCAAAGGAGTTAGTCAGAAGTTATAATTAGTGAATCCAGTAGGTACTGAAAAAGGAGAATAATGAAAATCTTGAAAATATATGTTGGAGCGAGGTCTTGGTAGTTTCAATGGGAGAGTTTTTATTTTGATCTCATAATACTGGGGGAACCATTGGGAAGTTTTGAACAGGTAGGTGGCATGCACAGAATCCTGCTTCAGGAAGGTAAATACTTCCTAGAAAACTACTTTCTCCTAGAAGGCCAATTACAAAAATGTAGACGATGTTATAAATGTTATAATATGCCTGCCACCTGCTCCCTAGGTTATAGTCTGTCTACCAGGACATAGACCTATTTCAGATCCCTATCTTTTGCTCCTTTCTTGTAGATTTATTAATGCCTGTTATTTTTGTTTTAACTCTTCGCTTTCACTTTCAGAGTGTCCTGATTAGGGAGAAAGTCATTTAGCTAGACAATTCTTTAGCTAGAATTGTCATTCTAGCTAAAGGAAGACAGAGACTGGCTTCAATTCTCAGGTTACTTGAAATCCAGTTTAGATTGAGACATGCCCATGTTCAGCAGCTTAAGTAGAATTAAAATGTGAGTTAACAATAAATGCTTAATTACAGCAACATCACAGAACATGAGCACAGTTTTAACTTTCTACATTTACCAGTCCTCATCAAATGGTTGGAGTTTTTGTCAGCTAAACATAAAAAAAATTCATTTTATAAATTAACTCTGACAATGATTAATACATTATTCTGGGTTTTTTTTTTTTCGACTATTCACAAGATATTTATGAAGCTCCATGAAATGCCCTAACCTTTTATATTTCTTGAGATGGAGAGGGTAGAGGAAAGAGTGACATTGAAATGGAAGTCATAATTTCTGCTTTTAAATAGCTTACAATTTAAATAGAGCATCTAGCACAGAGCCTGATATTAGCAAGTCCTTAGTAAATGTTAGTTGCAAGACTTCTTTGGAGGTAAACAACCGGGTTCTAATTTTGACACCTATGTGCGAGGGTAAGGAGCATGAGAAGAGAATAATCGCTGGGTAGAGAAATGAGAATAGGCGTTAGTGCATTCAGACAACCATCCAAAACCGAGAGGGGGAGAGGAACAAGTTCATGTAAATATTAGACAGTGATGATTTTTGCCCCAACTTGACTCCATGAGTGCATGCTCCAGGGTGAGTGGGAGAGGGAAGGGAATCTGCTGTTTTCTGTATTGCACTCAGTTTCACCATGCATATGCAGTGGGAGAACCCCCCCTCACACAGAGTGTGTTCTTACTGTTTTGAGGCACTCTATGTCTGGTGTTCAGTTGATCTGTTCACGCGTTGAAGGTAAAACTGAGAAACCTTATGTCTGTCTCTGCCATTGCATTGCTAAGGTATTTTCAGGGATAGTATTGGCCAAAGGCAAAGATTACCTTTTACAATGACTTTAGAAATGAACACCTTTATAAAATGGGGTTCCAGTGTAATCTAATAAAGCTGGAGCGTAGCAGACCTATTAAATTGTGGTGAAAAAATAAAGTAGGAAGGAAGATAGTGTAAAAGTAAATTACAGATGGTCTTAAATGACATGCTGAACGATTTAGTTATTTGAAGGCACTGGAGAGTCCCTCCGTTTGAGATGAAAAATAACTTTAGATAATATCAGTATTTTGGAGTAGTAATTCTCAAACCATGTTACCGTGGTTTAACAAGCTATATTGAGGATTTCTGTCACTCTGATTAAATAATTTAGTGAGTTTCTTACGCAATTTCCAGGAAAACATTAATGACTAGAATATTCCCAATTTTAAGTTTTTCTCCTGTGGTGAAGTAACAAAGAAATGTTCATAGAAAAAGTCAAGAACTTTAGTTTGGGAGCATATGTTTTCCATCAATACATGGTAATGGCTGTGTTTTTATGTTGTGTGTATAAAAAGGTCGCTTTTCCACTAGCAAATGAGATCTAACTAAATATGTCAGTATTTCATGGCAAATTTTGTGAAACACCATTAAGAATTTAGATGAACCTTTGCTGGAACAAGTGTGACCGCCTTACTCATAATGAAGAAAGACTAGAGACATGGAGATCAGTTGTCTTAAATCTTTTCTTTCTTTAATCTTGTATTTATTTGGTGAATGTGCATAAATGCTTAAAATAGCCAACTAGCATATATTTGTGAATTCACTATACATCCTTAAAAGGAGTTTTCTAGAGGACTCAGAAAACCTATATAATACAATCCATATCCTCAATAGCCATAAATTTTACTTGGTGAACAAAAACGTCCCCAGTGGTATAATTTGTAATATAGTGCTAACTTGACATGGGTATTCGGAAAGGCAGTAATCATCAAGCCTTTAAGCAATCAGAGAACATTTCCTAAGAGAGATGAGACTTGCGCTGGATTTCATAATCCAGAAAGGCTTGTCTGGAAGGAGCAGCATGTACAGTGAACAGGGACGGTGGTCTGATTGGAATAGAGTGTATTTACTGGGGCCTCCTGGAAAACAGGTTTGATCAAATTATGAACGTGATCCCAAAGCATAATGTTGTCTTAAACCGTCTTAAAACTAGCTATGTGATTCATCCTTTATAACTCCTCAAAGTTTGTTTGTTTGTTTATAACTCTTCAGAGTTTTAAAAACGGAACGCGTGAATCTTTAAATATTTCTGGAGGGCAGGGTGTTACTTTTTGTAACTGCTTACATATCCTGTCATCTTTAAACCACTGGAGCAATTTTGGTAAAACCCATTCATCCATAAGTATTTAATGCGTGTCTCAGATGTGACAGGCAGTGCACGCCAGAGTCCCACTCTCAGAGATCTTACTTCCTAGTTGTGGAGGGGAGTGGCCAGGCATGGAAGATGGACAAGAAGACAGTCCATTCAGGGAAAGGATGAGTATGTTGTCATTTGTATTTGTAAGGTGGTCAGAAAAGGGTAACTTTTCAAGAAAGGGATATTGTTTCAGAAGCAGAAAACAAAAGTTAGTAGTGAATAGTCTATGGCATTTTTCAAAAAAACTTTGACAATTTATTTTTCTCATAGGAATGTATTTGCTAGGGTGTAAAAGGGAACAGTCAGTTGCTCAATTCCGTGTGCTCACGCATTGATCTTTCAGATGAACGCACTGGACACCCTCGGTCAGACTGCTCTGCACAGAGCTGCCCTCGCAGGCCACCTGCAGACCTGCCGCCTCCTGCTGAGTTACGGCTCCGATCCCTCCATCATCTCCTTACAAGGCTTTACGGCAGCACAGATGGGGAACGAAGCCGTGCAGCAGATTCTGAGCGGTGAGTCCAAGCAGATAAACGGTGTGGTCTCAGCTTCCCGTTTCACGGCACTCATCTAAGTGGGCTAACCTTTCACTGCTTGCTTTAAGTAGCTCTTCCAAACGCTTTCTTTGCCTGAGTATTTCTCCTACCTCCCCTTGCTCACAGTTTGTGACTGAGGCCCTTCCTATCAGGCTTTTTCGTGGAGTGAGGTAGGTGTCATGAGGAGACATTCTCTTTTTTTTTCAATTTTAAATTGAAAACCTGACTCATGGGTGTGCCGATCAGAAGTGACTGAAGGCTCATATAAACAGTGTGGAATTACAGTAGCTCTCAAATCTATCAAATAGAGAAAATTAGAAATCATTCATATGGTGATGATCTTTAATTGATTGTTCTTACACATGTGATAGCCTGACCTGCTTTTTTGTAATTCTTAACTTCCTTGTCCCATTATGAGATTATCTTGGTTTTCTTCTAGCTGAAATGTAATTATGAAGTCTTGCTGAACGTTAGTGCCTACCTAGAACAGCGTTAGATGGTTTACCTCTTTAACTTATTGAAGGAGATCAAACGTAAACAAATATGAAAGTAGATTAGTTTCCCAAGCCTCCAAGTTAGAGGAAATAACACAATCTAGCCATTAAAGAATCATGAACTAGATACAGAATTAATTTGGTATAATTGACTCTTCTTTCCCATCCCTTTTATTTTGTCTGTGGGCTCTATCTGCTCTAGAACGACATAACCGACTGGAAGAGTTAAATGGAGAAGGAAGGCTACAGACTAGGAACCCAAAGTTCAGTTGCTTCCTCCTGCCTATAACCCAGTAGTTCTTTCTTCCAGCAGCACAATGCCCCTCTTTTCGTAATGAATATTTTATAATATCCCCTTTTCTTATACAGAAATGAAGTGTATAAACAATGTGACCTAACTCTACAGCTACCTTCCAAAAATCTCATATTAAATGCCCTAACTATAATATAGAGAATGACAGTAAGTTACACTAAAAGAGTTTATACTTATTGTAATAGTAATAGCTTGAGCAAAACTACACCAGAAGATAAAAATATACCCACAAATTTATGACGGGTCCCCCCCAAAGTACAACACAGTTGAGCATCAGAGCTGTATACTGAAATAGGGAACTTTCCAGACTTGTGAGCTCATATGTGTTAGAGCTGAATCAGAGCTAACCAGCCTCCTAAGAGAGTGCCACATTGTAAGAGCTAGTAATTAGGATTTACTTTCCTCAAGCTAATTTATTGGTGTATAGTGTCATAGAACTCCAGTCTTAGATAGTTGATCTCGAGACAGTTAAAGTAAGACCTATAAGACACCTTTACTATCAAAACTAAGAAGATCTTAAAGGAATGAAATGTCCTGTTATAGGATTTCAAGCTTTAAACTATGAAAAACGTGACTTCATTTAACTTCCTGTTTCTACAGAGCAATAGAACATTTACTTAAGGTAATCATGCTTTGACTAGGAAATAGTTCTGCCTTCTCAGTAAATTCTAATATAATTTCCGAAGGCTGTGATTTTTGTTCAAACATTCTAAATTTTTTTCTTACACTTTTCCCCAAGAACCATTTAGTGCTGAGTTTTAAGTTAGTTTCTTTAAATTATAACCATAAATCAGGCAAACAGATAGCTATCACGTTAAAATTTCTAATAATACTATGCATGATTTAGAGATAATTGACAAAATGGAGAAGAAAGGATTGAGTAAATTAGGCAGATTAGATCCATTAATGTTTTTTAAATGTCTTCTAAATCAATGCAGTTAGAATATATGACTTCTGGTAAAAGATAAAATTAAATACTGAATCAAATGAAATATATTATTCAATTATTCTGATAATTCTTCTTAAAAGTTTGTTTGGAAGATAAAACACTGAATAGGTAATTAAATGCTTAACATAGGATATGCCAGAACTCTTTGGTTTAATTTTTAATATTCTTTATTGATAGGGAAAAATAATACAGATAGTAGAATTATATGATAAAATCTTGCCCATCGAAAGGATTTGAAATGGGAATTGTTTTTTGTTTGTAAGAGGATACAATTTTTTTTTATTTTTAGTGTTATTAGAGAGAGCACACACGCATGAGTGGGAGAGAGCAGCAGAAAGAGAGAGAGGGAGGGAGGGAAGGAGAGAGACTCTTAAGCAGGCTCCGTGCTGAGCAGGGCTTGATCTCACAACCCTGGGATCATGACCTGAGCTGAAATCAAGAATCAGTCACGCAACCAACTAAACCACCCAGGCACCCCGAGGATAACAATTTTTTAAACTAATATTTCTATGAGTAACTTGTGTATCTATAGTCAGTGGACCATGTACTAGCTGGACTTTTTGATTATACCTAAATTTACTAATCCAATTTCAGGTTATATCTGTGATGACTTCTAAAAGAATGCATCAGTCATATAGGATGTATACCAGGTTATTGGAGTACTGTTCTGGGCAACATTTTTTTAAAGATACATTTAAATAATAATGCTGATACCAGGTTTAAGATCCAGTTTTAGAAACCTGCACTTCTAGCTCCCAAGTCAGTTATTGCCAATAGTTTACATTAAGAAAGTTTGAATTGGGGGCGCCTGGGTGGCTCAGTCGGTTACGTGTCCAATTCTTGGTCTCAGCTCAGGTCATGATCTCATGGTTCATAGGTTCAAGCCCCACATCAGGCTCTGTACTGACAGTGCAGGTCCTGCTTGGGACTCTTTCTTTCTCTCTCTGTGCTCCTTCCCCACTTGTGTGCTTGCTCTTTTTCTCTCTTTCTCTCAAAATAAATAAATACTTTAAAAATAGAATAAAGTTTTAATTGTAAACTGTTGGCAGTATTTATGTCAGAATTAATGTCTGATAGCTTTTTTATAAACCAGAATTTTATTTATTTATTTTTAAATGTTTATTTTTGAGAGAAAGAGGGAGAGAGACAGAGTGTGAGTGGGGGAGGGGCGGAGAGAGGGAGACACAGAATCCAAAGCAGACTCCAGGCTCTGAGCTGTCAGCACAGAGCCCCATGCAGAGCTCGAACTCAAGAATCGTGAGATCATGACCTGAGCCAAAGTCAGACGCTTAACTGACTGAGCCACCCAGGTGCCCCAATAAACCAGAATTTTAAAACATGCTTTCAGAAGATTTGACTTTTTTCTCCAGACCTGCTTTCTCTATATCTGTTCTGTCCAATATAGTAGCTACTAGCTACATGTGGCTAAATTTAAATTAATTAAAATTAAATAAAAGTTTTAAATCTGTTCATCAGTTGTCCTAGCCACATGTGACTAGTGGCTACTATATTAGCATAGATAAAGAATATTCCCAGCATCACGATAGTTCTTTTAAATAGTACATTTAGGCTAGACCTTGCATGAAATATTCTTTTTTTTTTTTTTTTTAATATTCTTATTTCTAGGGGAGAGAGAGAGACAGCATGAGCAGGGGAGGGTCAGAGAGAGAAAGGGAGATACAGACTCTGAAACAGGCTCCAGGCTCTGAGCTGGCAGTCAGCACAGAGCCCGACGCGGGGCTCGAACCCACCAACCGCGAGATCATGACCTAAGCGAAAGTCAGACGCTTAACTGACTAAGCCACCCAGGCGCCCCAAAATATTTTTTTTTAAATGTTTGTTTATTTTTGAGAGAGAGAGTGTGATGGGGGAGAGGCAGAGAGAGAGAGACAGAATCTGAAGCAGGCTCCAGGCCCTGAGCTATCAGCACAGAGCCTGATGTGAGCTGCAAGATTATGACCTGAACCGAAGTCAGATGCTCAACCGACTGAGCCACCCGGGTGCCCTAGCATGAATTATTCTGACTGTATATTCCAGTATGATTATTCCATTACTTTTACCTAATTATTTATAGAGGTAAGGATTTGGGGATTTAAAATAGCTAAATTAAACACTGAAATCCCCACTTACATTTGCACATTGAAATAAGTCAGTAAGACCTATTGCCAGTCCAGTTAACTGCCAGTCTACAGGAGATTTTTTTTTTTTTTTTTAATAATAATAAACTGCCTTCAACATTTGAAACTTTAAGTTTGGGTCGTGTCCTTTCCTGTCCTGTCCTGTCCTAAATTCTGGTGAGCCAGAATAGAATTGGAGAAAAAATTAGAAGTTTATCTTTAGCCTTGACTCTAGGTGAAATCTTTAATTTCATACTCTGCAAAAGCCAGTGTGCTTACAAAGGAATTTACTAATACAGTACTTCGACTCTCAGCTACTCTTCTTTTACCTATGTAAAAACTTTTCACTTCATTTTTATATCCTTTCAATTCTGTTTCTCTTTGTATAAAGCTCCTGGAGTGTATATATATCCTTGCAGCTACTACTTTGGTCCCATTGTTTCTAAAAATGAATCTCTTCTAAGCCTGTTCAGGATTTATAATGGATGCAAGCTCTACACTTTCTATAGTAATTAATCAATATCTTTAAATAGCTACCTTCTACTCTTTGACAAGGAGTAACAATTTCTCCATAGTTCTCAGAAGTATTTTTATATTTGCATAAAAATTTTTGCTTTTTTGTAAAATTATAACCCTTTGCAAGTAGTCTGTATCAAGACCAATACTCCAGTTAGAAATAATTCATAGAATTAAAACACTTATCCATATGAATTGTATCCTTCAAATGCTAGAATCTGAAAATACCCAAAGTCCTAACTCTATATACATAAACAATTGTCATTTCATTTTGTTGAAGTGATAAACCAAAAATATTACCTATAGATATCCAAAGGATGTTTCAATGAGCTTCACCAACCTCCCGAATTACTGTCACAGAGACGTGACTCACCCATCAATGCAGCAATACCATACACAACAAGAAAGAAGGTAAATGAGACAACAGAGAACAGGATAAAGGCAACCAAAGAAAGAGCAATGGTGGGCCAGACACACTGACCACAATATAAAATAGCACGGAGGTCCGTTCAGCAAATGCTTTCTGATGAGCAAGACCTGATTTCTTTCCTCAACAGTTCTCCAAACTAATGAGTAATAAACTCTCATCTTAAGAAAAGTACTTACTAATGTTTCAAAAATGTACTTCATTATATGAAATACTCTCCTTTCCTCCCTTTAATCTTAGCATTTTATCTGCTAAGTATTACCATGACTAATTAAACACAGTTTAACTTTTATGGAAGAGTGCTCATAACTTATGCTATAAAAGCCACTCTCCTGAATGAAGCACTTTAGAAAGAGCTGAAGTTATTCTGAAATCTAAAACCTTTTCATAGCATCACTTACTCTTCCCGTGTAGACAGTGGACTCAAGAAAGGCTCTTTGATCACAAGATAATGTAGTCTTAAATCTGAAAGAGGATATAAGGGAACTCAACACTCACTTTATTGGTGCGAAAACTAAGCTGTGAAGTGATTTGGCCATCATTACCCTTAAAATCCAAGTCTCCTAGACTTCACTCCTTTTGTATTAGGTGAGTGTGTATACATATGCGCATTATAAAGGCCACATGTAATGTCCACAAACATATTTTGAGTGACGTATTTGTGCATTGTTTTCTTTAAAAAATTTTTTATTTGGGCCAATATGTAATGAATTTTTGGTTTATATTAATCAAAACACTTCATTCGTTAACCTCATACTTTTCTAGACCTAACGGCCTAATCTGATTATTCCATTTGGCATTTGTGTCATGCCTCCCAATTGTTCAGACATTTTTAATTGCATTTCCCTGAAGCCATTCAATAAATATGAGTTAATGTGAATTTTAGTATACTGATTATATTTTTTAAGATCATTAATTTTAGGAGTAGTACTTCTGTTTCATATTGAGAAAGTTGAGTCCAAAAAGAAAAAGGCTAAGCATTGAGTACTGAAAAGTTGAGTGGTCTTTCCCTAGGTTTGCACAACAGAATCAACAGCAAAGCTTTTGCTACAGCACTTTGTAAGACCAAAGTATCATAAAGATGTGCTTGATACTGTGTTCTAGGTTTCTTTATTCCCCTTTGCCAAGTTTTGGCCAGAAGATTTGAAGGCTAGAATAGTAGGGATGGAGAGGATTTATGTGTCTTTGAATTTATTTAAATGTAGCTTAGGATAGCGGTGCCTGCGTAGCTCAGTCCGTTAAGCATCCAACTCTTGATCTGGGCTCAGGTCACAATCTCACAATTTGTAAATTCAAGCCCCATGTTGGGCTCTGGGCTGACAACATAGAGCTTGCTTGAAATCTGTCTCTCTCTCTGTCTCTCCCTCTTTAACCCCCTCCCCGCCCTGATCTCTCTCTCACTCTCTCTCAAAATAAATACTTTTTTTTTTAATTTAGCTTAGGATGAGATGGATGTTAATTGAAATAAGCCGCTTTTTTCTTATCTGAAAACAATTTACAAAAATCTGTAGATTAGATCTCAGGAATTTCTGACCCCTTAATCTCTTTTTCCATTCACCAAGTAATTTTCCCTTCTTAACTCTGTGATTCCTTAAAAATTAACACTAATCTTTCTTCTCTTTTATTCAGAAAGTACACCTATACGAACTTCTGACGTTGACTATCGACTTTTAGAGGCATCTAAAGCTGGAGACTTGGAAACTGTGAAGGTAAATCAGTGCTTTTCACATCTCACGTGGCACAGTTGAACTTTGCTAACCAATTCATTTTAAGCTTCTAAGTGAAACAATTAAATTCCAAACAATAAAAGGGAAGAACCAAGTCGATCCATAAAGCAGGAAGATTTCCTAGTCTGTGCTTTATATCTATTAAACCAATTTTAGTCACTTTTCTTCTGATTATATGAAAGCTCTTTTATTTTCAGTTACATTAATGAAACTGTTATTTTTGGCCGCATTTGTAAATTTCCAAGCTAGTTCAAGCCCAGGTAATATTACTATAAATTTCAAAACAATTTTTGAAATTTCTGAAATTTCTTCAGCTTTTCCAGGAGACTCTCACAATTGCTCTAGGAAAGTATTCTTATGATCCTACAACCATTTGGAATTACTTATGTACAGAGGATGGATTTTCTTTTCTATGTAACTCTGCTTGCCAGGAAAATTTTAATAGCCTTTATTTGTGGTATAGAAACATGGTTATAGATTTATGAAATAATAGTCTGATCTTGAATATTTTTTTTAAAAAAACACTCTTCCTATCTATAACCACTCCTGCAGGGATGATAGAAAGAAGCAGCATTTGGTTCTTGGTTCTTTGTCTTGTTTGTAATCTTTTTTTTTTTAAGAAAAGCTAATGTGAAATTGGCACTGATGGCCATAACAGGTTAATTTTTACAAACTAAACTTTGTCACTTCTTATGAAGCAACCTCTTTTTGTGGTTTTTAACAAACTACTTTTAGCATTCTTACTGCTGTGTATTACTAGAAAATGACAACAAATGCTTTCAAGTTCTGTTGCCTAGAAATTTTATTTTTGTTTCGGTATGTGGCCATTTCTAACATCATTTCCATCTTACATGAACATCTAAATTATTTGAAGGAAAATAGTAAATTTTATTGTAATGGCCACTGGGGAGAAATTTTAAAGTTCTCTTAGATCTAAAATTATGTACTTTTTTCCCTTAATTAAAATTACATACTTCTTATCATTTGAAATGTATCCTAATAAAAGAAAATCTTTAGGGGCGCCTGGGTAGCTCAGTTGTTTAAGTGTCTGACTCTGGGTTTCAGCTCAGGTCATGATCTCCGGGTTCCTGGGACCAAACCCTGTGTCGGCCTCTGTGCTGACACCACAGAGCCTGAGCCTGCTTGGGATTCTCTCTCTCCCTTCCTACTCCTCCCCTACTCGTGTGTCACACACTCTCCCTCTTGCGCACTCTTTCTGCCTCTCAAAATAAATAAACTTTTTAAAAAAATCTTTAAATAGAAAAGTGATCAGGACTCCTTTTCTGCACCGCAGCATGATAATCTTGGCTCCAGACTTACCACATGTGCCCATTATCATTAAATTAATAGTTTAGTATTTTCCATTTATGTAGTTTTTAATTCCATATGTTCTGTATGTACTGATAGGCAAATATACCACAGCTTTCAGGTTTCCTAACCATTCTATTCACAGTAAAGGCCAAATATATTTGTATAAATGGAATGGAAGTGGAAGAAGAAAAGCACAGCACAGATTGAGAATTAACTGGGGTGGGTTGCTTTCCCTCGAGACTTCAGAAAGTATCTTTTAAAAAATAGGATTAGAAGCAAGGCTGTCTGCTGAGTAAAGTATTTGAAATTATGGAGACCAGGTGAGAAGGATGCCAGGATGCTTTGGCATTCAAAAGGTAAGTGAAATTGAACAGAGAATAAAGAACGTCCAAATATTAGAAATCAAATATTCAATAAGCAGAATGGGCTTTTATTTTTGTAAGCTGGCAAAATGAGGTGTGCTTTTTTCCCGACCTCATCCCTCTTGCCAGTATTCTCTGCAAGGAAAAAAAAATGAATTTAGAGTATAATAGCCTGAAGAAACACTAGGAGCAACACGAAGCAGCTTTAATCATGTAAGATACCACTAGAAGGCGTTTGCTACCAGTGTTTGTATCCTTTCTTTTTACTTTATGTATTCATTTATATTTCATTTTGTTTTTTGATTCTATAGTTTATGTATTAATGTAGCCACAGATTCACTTGTCAATGAGAGGGTACGATATATGACCTGGCCAGGTGACAATGACTCCTCAGAGTTTAGAGTCTGGGGCTTCTCCACATAGAGCTGATGAGATCGTAGGCTCTCTCTCATGGCCCAGACTTCCCTCTGTCATGTGAGCCTTGTACCACCTGAAAAGCCTGTTTCTACTCTCCCAACATTGAAGGTGCCTACCCAGTAAGTCTGCAGAAGCAGGTGCCTTCCAGGTTCTTAGTTTTTATATAATGATAGCTCATTACAGTGGCAGGAGTGGCAGCAAGATTGTCAAATGCCTGGAAAGCCCTGCCATCATACCTCATAGCCTAGAAAATGTCACTGTTCTCTCGGCTTTTTTGACTTCTTCTGTTACCTTTCTTCGCATCACTTCCCTGAATGCAGGTAATTAAGACAGTAAGCAAAGATAGAGCAGAAAGATCAAGAGATGACAAATCAGGAAAATCGGGTTTGAGTCTTCATTGTACCCTTGACCTTGCCGACTCTATGAAAAAAGACAAGCTCCTTAGCCTTTCTGAACCTTGGTGTATTTATCCATAAGGTGGAGATGATGAGCAGCTTCTCAGCTAGACAGTAATTCTCTCACTGAAAGAATACGAGATGCTTTGTAAATTGTGGATTATTATTCACATATTATTACTATAATTCATCTATCACCGCCAGTGGCACAGCCCACCAGCCCTCCTTTGCGTCCTCCCACTGCAGTGTAAGCAGACAGAATGGAGCTTGTGCTGAAACAGTAGCATTTGGAAGGAGGTAAAAGGGAAGGCGAAACACCAGACCATGATTGGAATCAGTTTGACTCACAGAGTCAGACAGACATCGCCCAGAGATCAGGTCAAGCACTGGTGACTGCCTGGCATGCTGTAGTGGGGCAGAAGGCTGAGTGGGTAGTCCAGGCAGACGTAATGCAGTTGCCCTGGAGGCTCTTAGCTTGCCACATCCGCAGAGATGGGCACTCTGGGTGGTTCTGCAGTCAGTCGGGGTTGGTCTTGCTCCAGGAAGGAATGGCTGACAGCGTGCGGGACCGGCAGACACGCTGTGGCAGTCAGTCTCGGAGGAAAGCCCTGTGAGGATAAAAAATGAAGGCATCATTTGCCTTGGAAATTCTTACTTTATTATGGGTTTAGTTCTCTTTGATTAGGATTTTGGCCAGGAAATGATGGGGAAAAAAAGATTAAATTACTCTGTAAACAGTAAGAACATTTGTAGACACTGTGAAGCCAGGCATAGTGCTGAGTTTTAAACATGACTTGCATGATCTAATCTTTGGAAATAAATATTCATTAGAAAATTACAGTGTATCCAAGATGCCTGTGGTATTTCGGAGCAAAACCTATGAATAAATACTAATGTTCTTTGTGTGTTTGTGTGTGTGTCACTAAAGCAACTTTGCAGCCCTCAAAATGTGAATTGCAGAGATTTGGAGGGTCGGCATTCTACACCTCTGCACTTCGCAGCAGGCTACAATCGTGTGTCTGTTGTGGAATACCTCCTACACCACGGGGCCGATGTCCACGCCAAAGACAAAGGGTAGGTGCTAGAATTTAGCTGTTTGGGACTTGAAAACTGTTAAATGTTTTTGAAGTCTCAGATTTGTTTCCCTGTTAAAAAAGTGATGCACCTTTTTTAAAATGTAAAGCATTAATAGAAATGTACAGTATAGAAAACAAAAATTCCTTATCGCCCCACCTTCTAGATAAAAATTTTGTTGTAATCCTCCAAATTTTTTAAAAGCATAAATCAGTGAGTATCGTGCTCGTTTTTAACATAAGTGATGAGGCCATTTCATGCAGCCCACTTTGTAATTTGCTTTCTCACCCAGTAGTAGATCTTGAATGTCTTTCCATATCAATACTTAATTGTTCATCTCATCTTTTTAATGCCTATAATAGTATTTTATTGTATTGTATGAATGTGTTTACATCATTTGTAATTTATTGTTTGTCCTTTTTTGTTTTTGCCATTAAAAATGTGTAATCTCTTCCCAAAAGAAGCCATCCATCCCAAAGTCATTGGTATTAATAGACACATAATTTTATTTTTACTAATTCAGATATTCTGTACTTCTCTGTTAGTTTACTAAATTATTTTAATTTATCTAGTCACAGTTTAAAGCAGCCATGGCAGCTAATTAGAAATGTAAGAAGGAAGTTTTAACTGAAATGAGCTTCCATATTCTGAGTTAATTTCATATCATCTCAAAATAGAAATAAGCAAGCACTTTTCTGTGCAATTACATATCAGAGTACTGTAGAATTAAACCATACAATTTAGACTTAATTAGCCATTATGGATTTATCCTTTAAAAGGGACACATCAGACTTGAAGTTTGTAGACCACTGGAGAGCAACCAGCATTTATTTCTACTGACCATTTTAGTTAACACTTAGTATTTTTGATCTCAGAATATTAAAAAAAAATTGCTGCTCTCTAAATAAAAAGGCGTTTGATACCTTGTTTTGTCATGGTTTAAGTGCAACATAAGCATATCCTTCTGTTGCACTCTCTTTATGGGAACAGCTTTTGTATTCTTTTAGATGCCAAGTGCCTCTAACCAGAGCTTAGACTTACCTCAGAATACTTTGTTCATGAGCTGAGGCAGCTGGAGTTTCTCACGCAACTGGAGTTTATGGTTGGTGTCGTTATTTTCCTCACCAAATACTACGGTTCCTGTATCACTTGCATTTTGAGTTTTCATTGCTTGACACCTAAATATTAAATCTTGCATAGAAGCCACTGCTGAATTATTAGGAATTCAGAAATAAAAACCAAAGACAAAAGGTAGAACTTGCCTAAGTAAATCAGTTACATTTTATTGTCTATTTCATAAATAGGCATACCATTTTAGGAAAACCCAAATGAAGAAAAGCTGACTGGATGAAACCAGATTATTGATTATTATTCCTGAAATCACCTTGTAGTATTGCTTTTCATATCAGCAGGACGAAACCTGAATTAAAAGTATTATGATGGAGGGGCTGCCGGGTGGCTCAGTCGGTTGAGCATCCGGCTCTTGATTTCGGCTCAGGTCCTGATCTCACAGTTTGTGGGTTTGAGCCCCATATCAGGCTCCCTGCTGGCAGTGCGGAGCCTGCTTGGCATTCTCTCTCTCTGCCCCGCCCCTGCTTGCACACTCTCTCTCAAAATAAAAAAAACTTAAAAATTTTTTTAATTAAAAAATATATCGTGATAGAACCTTTTCTCTGGGTATATCTGTATGTATTCGAAGCACAGGATTGCTGTGAAATTTATATCCATCACCAAGAAGCCAGGGAAAATCCTTGTATTGAAAGGGGTGTTTTTGAAATTCTTAATCCCTGAAAATAGGTGACTGTATCTTCAAGACCCAAGGGGAATTCTTTCTTTTTAAGTGAGTGTTCAGTATAGTCACCGCCAAAGAAAAATTACATTATTTTTATTATAAGTGTCATTTTAATGCAAAGCTGTTACATGTTTTTAAAATACTTTTCTTTCGTTTAGTGGCTTGGTGCCCCTTCATAATGCTTGTTCATATGGACACTATGAGGTAGCTGAGCTTTTAGTAAGGCACGGGGCCTCTGTCAATGTGGCGGACTTATGGAAATTTACCCCTCTGCATGAAGCAGCCGCTAAAGGAAAATATGAAATCTGCAAGCTCCTTTTAAAAGTATGTAATTTTAAAAATTATAAAATATCAAGTAATTAATTTAATTTTTGGTTAGTATGTAAAATTACATCAAAGTAAATTATTAAGTACAATAAGTGCTGTAGAGATTGCTTCCATTTTCTGTTTTAGGGGGATATTTAAGTGTGATATGATACTTACATAGCTTTGAATAGTGTCTGAAGTATCTTTCTGATAAGTTCAGTTCATCACAATTCATCAAGGTAGGTTTTGGAAAGAGATGCATTTATTTGCATTGTTTATACTTATGGCATTAATATCAGAAAAGATAGTTCAAGGGAAAACAAGTTTTTCGATCAACTTTGATTTTTTTCTTAGTAGCTATATTATTATTAACAAATTCATTGCTCATTATTAAACATTAAACATATATGTCTTGTAAGAACCTTAATACTAGATTTTTATTAAAATACAAAGTAATCTTTAAACAAAGTGATTCATATAAATTTGGGGAATAGAAACAAAATAGTAGAAACTAATAGTTACATGAAACTAACTTACAATTTTGTATTCTTTTTAAATTGAAAGATGTAAAAAATGATTAGACATATATTTGTGTAGTTTTCTGTCTCTTTTTTTAACTAAAAAAACAACTTATGCTGGTTACATATAAATAGATTTCTTGCCTCACCACTTTTATGCCATCAAATATATTTTTATGAGTCTTAAGAATAATAATGTATTTGATGCCCATTTTTATCTTCACTGGGTGGTAAGAAATAACTTCCAGGAAAAACAAACAAAGAACTTCCAGGTCACTATGAATTCACTGTCTGGTTTGGTTTATTCTGAATTTCTCCAGTGGGCTGGTAGCAGTTTGTCAGGCCCATAATAAAGATCCTTGACTTTTATTCATTTCATGTCGCAGGTATAGATGACTCAACTTTTAAAATCAAATTAATTGTTAATACATTTATACCTAATTTTTTGTGAGGTGTTAAGACTTAAAATGAAAATAGTAAAAAAATAAGCAGTCTTTTGTATTGATTGTATTTAGAATTAAGTACTTTTTCCACCAGTCTGTCTTCCTCTTCTTACTTCCTTCTCATGATATACACTAAATATCTTTATATCACTTAAATCTGGTCAAAAAGTAATATCCAGACCATTCTTAAAAGGAAAAGGGGTTTCCAAAGACAGTATGCTGTCTGAGAAAGTATATGACATGACACATTAAAGGTGCCCGGCCCCTTCCCCACTTCACGATAGCCATTGATCCTAAGACTTGGACTTTCCATTGAAAAGTAGTTCCAGAGCTGATCCACCATATTGCTAAGAAGGGAATTTACAAAGTAAAGCCTGGTATTGTCCCTGTTTTTCAAAACACATATAGATACCTTTCCTTAGGTGAGTGAAGGTGAAGTTAAAAATTTTAAAAACCTTAAGAAAGCTACTGTAGAAAATACCAACCCCACTTGGTTTTGTTTGTCTTATTGTCATTGTTTTAGCATGGAGCAGACCCAACCAAAAAGAACAGAGATGGAAACACACCATTAGATTTGGTAAAAGAGGGAGACACGGACATCCAGGACTTGCTACGGGGAGATGCCGCCTTGCTGGACGCGGCTAAGAAAGGCTGCCTGGCAAGGGTGCAGAAGCTCTGCACGCCGGAGAACATCAACTGCAGGGACACCCAGGGCAGGAACTCGACCCCTCTGCACCTGGCAGGTGGGCACCACAGCACCCCCAGGGCTTGCGGCGCTGCCTCGGGTACCCGACACAGCTCCCCAGAAGATGAACATGCTGGACAGAAATAGGAAAATGCTTTCGATTGACATTATTTTATATAACATCTTATCATAAAGGCTCTTAGTCGTGTGAGAGTAGTAGTAGCTGTTCAGTAAGCCGAAAATATTAAAATCGTGACATTTTCCAGCCCTTGTTATTTATATGCAAAGGTATAGATAGTTTTTTCATCTGACATGTTCGCCTTTTCCACTCTAACAGCAGGCTACAATAACCTGGAAGTGGCTGAGTATCTTCTGGAGCACGGAGCAGATGTTAATGCCCAGGACAAAGGCGGTTTAATTCCTCTTCATAATGCAGCATCCTATGGGGTGAGCATGCTACCTTTCAAGTCTAGGAAACTTCACTGATGTTTACTATTTTATCAAATACATACTGTGCATGAAGTAAGCAGATGTCTAAGCAACACTGTAAGTTAGCACAATTTTAATCTTACTGTCTAGAGTGTGTCTGGACTTCCCAGTTAAGCTTAACTATGTTTTTGGTCAAGGGCCATGCCCTTTACAGCTCTCTGTTCTCCTCACATTTGTCTAGCACAGTAATAGATGTATAATGGCTGCTCATTTAATATTTATCATTACAGATAATAGATCCTAGTAGATTTTAGAAACCGTAAGACCCAGGAGGCTTTTTATTCGCAGGCATGGAAACGATGCTTGCTTTTGTTTGTCGTCCACATCTTAAAACATGCAAGTAAAAGGTGGAGCTCGTGGTACGTGTGGGTTCATAGAATTTGATTGAGTAGCTAAAGCCCTACAGTGAGAGTCCAGAGCCGTTCTCAAAGCACTCTGACTGTAACCATCCGCTGAAGGAGGATGAGGAAGGGGAGTGTATTGCAGTGCCTTGATGACCTCTGTTGGAACTGACTGCCTGGAAGTCACCCAGGCCCACTCAGGCCTGAGTCACACAGGAATAATCCCACAGGATGAATGCTCATGTGCTTGTCTGTTCATTCACTGAATCCCCGTTGACTGTAAAAACCCACAGATGCCCGAGTGTACATACCAGGGGTTCTCACAGCTGGAATCACTACTGATGAGGACAGTCTCTGGATTTGCAGAAGCCTAACAAACTATTAAGTAAAACCTAATCATTGGGATTTCCGTATCCTCTTATTCTCTTTCCCCCTTGCCCTTCATAAAGAATGTCCTCATCTTCTCATATCCCCTCTGCAAAAACCAGTATTTCAGAGAGATGACAGTCTGAGTGGCAATACTCTTAAGAAAAACAAACAGTCCAGTTTTGAGTTGCACAGACAGGAAAGAAAATTATTATACTTCCAAATGTCACATAAATTAATTGAAAGTTATCAGACTTACTACATGTATCATTAGTACTGAAATCCTCTTGAAACTGTAGTAATCTGTCCAAAGATGATTATCTTTAATGAGATTTTTTAAAATTTTCCTTTAACTTTCCTTCATATAAGATGCCCAGTTTCACTGTACACCATGTTTCTCCTGAAGGCCAGGTATGCTAAGTATTTACTGCTAACTTCCTACTTATGCAGTTATGTAGAATTTCTTTACCTCTGTGTGAGAACTACAAATATGTATCATTTGGAGATTAATGTTCACTTCTTAGCATGATCCTTCTCTCCATACTGTGTTCCACTAATCCGTTTGCTAAAGCCTCAGTTCAGAGTTTCTAAAGCGGATGGGTTCAGCAGAACTCAAAGCAGAGTCTTTGGAGTAAGGATAGGTGTGGCAGTAGAAGTAGTTCTTGCCCTGACTTGGTAAAGCTTACACTGTCAGTTGTGTGTAGACCACATAGATCCATGTGCTTTTCAGTGCATTTTATACATTGTGGCTGTGGATAAGCTCTGTCCCATCAGTTTTCCCCTGTCACAGCCGTCGCAGCTGTCACAGAGAGCAAAGAAAGTAAAACTTGCTTGGAAAGTAAATAAAGCATTTTACCTTTTAATTCCCATCCTCCTGATCTGAAAGGTGTATGAGATGTTACTTACACATGTGTCATTTGGTGACTCGTACGATGAGAGAATCAAAATGTCCAGTGCTCTCTGTCTTGTGGTTAATGGGAAATGCGGTGCGCAGGTCTTATTTCCTGTTCCCTGGAAGCATCTTGCCATTAGCTGAGGGAGGTGTCATGTAATCAGGGTCCAGAGCAGAGACCCACTGTTCTGTGTCATAAACTTACTTCACTGTCATCCATCTGCTCTCTCCTTCTAACTCCATGGGAGAAAAATAGTGGACGTTTTTTCATTTCATTCTCTCTTCTCATACTATCCTGTGTGCGATCACATCCCTGCTGGTATCCCTCTGTGTAAACGAAGGTAATTTATCGAAGTAAAAATGAACAGAAAATTCTGCAGGCTGCGTAAAGAGCATGTGGTAGAGGTTTGGATCAACATGGTTTGTCCCATCCTTCTACTAAACAATGTTAACAGGCTAGAAAATGTGTTTATAGTAGTTATTTTTACCTCATTGTGTAGGTGGAGTTTTTGAGTCATTAAAAGTCCTTTTGGTATTAACCTTATAAATTCAAAAATCAAATATCTGTGAGTTAATGACAATGTATTGTTATTCACTGAAAGCTTTACCTTTGTGGTTTCTTGAGCTTTCTTTTTTGCCATAGATTTGGCATGTGCAACATGTACCCCCCTCCCAGTAACATCCCTTAGGATTCCCACAGTGATTCTCAGTTGACGGTAGGTGAGATCATCCCCGCCATTGAGAATCTCTGCTCTACAAACTAATTTGACCTAATGCAGTTTGTATAGTGTTTAATCCATTGTTAATAACCATATCAAGTCGGTTTTTATCTCAGTCTCAATTAGTAGATTTAAAACAAGGACGAATGTTAAACACAATATAAAAATTTTTAAAGCTACTTTGTCTTTTAACTGAAAGGTAAATATAATTATATTTTTATTGTCTGGATATATAAATCTCTTTTCTTTCAAAAGTTCCTTTTTATTCATGTTGCAATGAGTGTTGGCTGGATATTTTAATGAAATCATAGGGCTCTGGTCCCCATTTCAGTCCACATTCCTCAGTTAAGGGGGCAAAACACTAGGTACAGTGTATTCATCCCAGTGATGCCCAACCTGGCCTGACTGTATGGTGTTTATGATAAACTGCCCTGAAGTAACAGTTTTGTGGAGATTTTTGTGGTACTTCATATGAAATAGAAACTGCTAAGTTAAAAATAAAGCTGTTTGCAGAATAGTTTTGGGTATAGTGTTACCTGGGTATAGTCCCTGCTTACATGGCTTCTCGCTGATACTATACACTTTGCCATTGTCAACTCTTCAAGAAATGACTCTTGAGTTTTAGTCCAGCAAGCCCTTGCAGGCAGCCATGTATAATGGAAAGACCTGAACCCAGGATCTGAACATCTGCGATCTAGTCTTTAGGCGTTTACTCAGTAGCCCAGCAGTCTTCAGAAGTGCCTTAATCTTTCTGATCCTCAGTTTTCTCATTAGTAGAACTCAGATACCGAAACCTCCTTTTTGGGGTTGTTGTGACTATCAGATGAGATCATGCATGTGGAACGTGCATTCTCTAGCCTAAGGCACTCTAAACTCTGGGCTAATAACTCTTCTTATAAGATAACTCGCTCCCCATGGCCATCCTACTAGTTAGAATAAGGGTATGTGTCACTCTGACATCGCACAGCCCTAGGAGTAATGTGTGTGCTTGACCAGCTCGGTATCCCTGTGAAATAGCCACAGACTAACCGGCTTCAGTAGGACATAATGACTGGTAGCCTGGGGATAAAATAATCATGTGAGGTGTCTGTGAAATTACATAAAGCTACTTAAGCTGTTATTTATTGGTAATTATTCTTTGACTTGTATTTTACCTTTTTTTCCTCTAGAGAGCTCAGTCCGCTGTCTGTAGATCTTTAACCATTTTATACAGAAAGAACTGCCACCTCAGTTTTTCTAAACAGAGAAACACGTAGTTTAAGAAGTTTCAATAAAAGGTAGAGATTTCATGAGAGTGTATATTAATGGTAATATACATTATCCTGTTTAGTGTTTTGTATTATAATGCCTTATATTTTTAATATATGTTTACACAAGACAGTTCATTTTTCTATTAATAAATGTAAGACCTCGATATTTATTTACTGCAAAGCATGTGATTTTCTGTTACCTCATAAATCAACTTGCTGACTTTTTCATTTTTCAGCGCTTTGTCCAAAGTGTATAATATTGGGTGGATTTCATGACATTCATACAATTAAATGGCTCTAACTGGAGCCCAAGCATGTTTCTCTTCTCCCAGCTTCCCAGCTTTCTAAAATTAAATTAAGGCCCTCACAGTATTTATGTAGTATCTGTCACTTAAAGCATTCTGTGTTTCAGCTGGATTCTGAAACCATGTTTAATTGGCTCTTTCTTCTGGAAACATTCCAGCAGAGTTCAGTTCCTTTTCTAGACCTTCCAGTTCAGTACTTTGTTCTTATAAATGGCATAGAACTAAGCTGTAGCTTATTTATTGCATCTGTCAACCTCAAATTTCAGTTACTGTTTTTGCCCCCGTGGTATAGCCACTTAGAAGACTTAAGAATGGTGTTTTTTGTCTACTTTGGTAGTGATACACTCCTTCCTGTTTATTGCTCTTTCACAGGTTTGTCAGCAGAGTTAACAAGCATGTAATTGGTTTCTCCAAGCATCAACTATATATTCATTGTAAAGAAAGTTGAATAGTAAATACCATATACTTGTATACAATTCATATTACACACCTACACTAATTTTCCTTGGACTATCTAATTTTGGAAACCCATGCAAATTACTCTACCAAGTTATATTACCCTGCCAGTACACATGGGAGCAGCATAAAATAACCATCAGAAGCACTGTTTGAATGCCCTGTAACCTTACCAGGGAAAAGCATGAAGTTATTCCATGCGTTGGGTTAGCTGAACAAAAAGAGCTACCCCTTTTCAACATATATCCTTTGAATAAGGGAGATACATTTTGGGGGTTAAATTTTTGATTTGTTTTAAACATTTAAAAACCATTTTTAACATTTATTTACTGTTTTTGAGAGAGAGAGACAAAGAAACAGAACACAGCTCTGTTTATTATTTTTGAGAGAGAGAGGGAGACACAGAATCCGAAGCAGGCTCCAGGCTCTGACCTGTCAGCACAGAGCCCGACACGGGGCTCGAACTCACAAACCGTGAGATCATGACCTGAGCTGCAGTCTGATGCTCAACCCACTGAGCCACCCAGACGCCCCATTGTTTTGTTTTAAGTAATTTGGATAATGCCACAGTTGGTACCTGTTTTTATCTTTTGTGTTAGAATCAGTTTTATAATGATGATGTATCTTTCTTAATCCCAAAAGGATCACAAAACACAGCTTGTTCTCAGAAGCCCTAATGTCATTATGTTCCTCTACTTCTGTTTTGTTTCTTATACTCGCAGAGCAAATGCGGGAGTTTCCTTAGAAGTTATTTGATTCGTATTTTCCTAATAAATTTTCTTTATTTTCTGAAACTATTTTCCTGAAATAATGAGCACGTGTATTATCTTTTAAAAACGTTAACATTAACCTCAGAAAAAGTGTCCTTTTTGAGGTGAGCGTCTTCAAAAGAGCAAAGGCTGTCTTAAAGAAAACATGAAGACGCGTGCCCTAGATCTCGCCTTGGGATATTTCTGTTTCTCCCTTCCTTCCCCATCTCTTCCCATTCTCACAAAAGCTTCAATATATTGCAGTATGAGTTAGATATGTTTATAAGAATAAAGTTATTTTTATTATTCTCAGAAGCCCAATTGTTGAATCAATATTACTGTTGCATAATTGCTTATCTGAAGCTTATTTTATGAGGACTTTGGGGAAGAAACAAACTTTTTGCTACGTAGAACGTACTATTTGAGAGAAACTGCTCTCCTTGAAACTTTCTCCTACATTGTCTTACACAGTCCTGCCTCTTTATAGTTCTTCTTCTGTTCCCACTGCCCCTTTTGTCTCCCCTGGGGACCCTTCACTCTCCTTTTCCCACATTTTGTTCTCTTGACGTTTTATTCCCCCTTGAAATCATCTTTCTGAATTCCTTTTCTTAGAGAGTTCATTTATCATCTGGCTGTAGCTATCAGCTGGACATTCTGTTTTGCAGACCCCCGGGACCCCTACCCCCAGGGCCAGGCACATAGTAGGTGTTAACCAATATGTGCTTGAAGGGGGAGGTGATGAGAGAGCGTTAAGTGAGTAAATAAACAGGCCCTTATCTGTGCTCTGGCCGTTTGTGTCAGATCATTAACGGAACGTCATTACTTTGATATTTTATCTCGAAAACTACTTCCTCCAAGTGAACCTTAACTTTCTTACATTCCCACTTAAACTACTCCGTTTCTGTTAATAGTTCCACTTCTGTTTTTTTAATCTTCTAGACCAATTTTGCAAAAAGAGAGGTAGTCATCTTTGACTTTTCTTTCTCTGTTGTTCATGTCTTTTTAAAGCCCAGTAGTTTTTCCTTCACAGTTTTTCAAAGGTAGCCCTTCTTTTCTATTCTTCTCTGTGATAGTTCAGCATGTGAGAACCTTACCCCCAGCTTATCAGTTAATGCGTCTGCTGCTGAGATGTCCTTCACCCAATGTCGCTTTGTTATGTTACATTACCTTTCCCCAAGGCTGAAGAGAGAACATGGAGACTCGTTGAGATGTGTGTTTCAATAAATAGATCAGAGTGCAGAGGACTAGAAGGGACATAGCAAGATAAGAGAAGCAAATAAGAACACTGGTTTGACAGGTGGACTAGACCTTTAATAGGAAACTTGGAGTCAGGAAATAGTTGCATTTCTTGTGTTTGTTTTTAAGATAGACCTGACTATGTGGAACTGTTATGTTATATGAAAAAATTTTTAAAGCACCTGTGAAGAATTACAAGGTAAAGGAGTGATTGTGAAATTGAGATTCTATAGGCAAGAAAAGACGGAGTCCAAAGTACAGGAATGGGCTAAGTATGTTTTTTCTAGAGTAGGACTGTGTATTAAGGATGAGAATAGAGCTACAGACGGAATGAAATGTTAAACAAAACAAGCGTACCTGATGGAGCTTCTCCAGTCTCATTTGTAACTCTTCACGTCCTTTGTTTTTCTGCAGCATGTGGACATAGCAGCATTGTTGATAAAATACAACACGTGTGTAAATGCAACAGATAAGTGGGCGTTTACTCCTCTCCATGAAGCAGCCCAGAAAGGAAGGACACAGCTCTGTGCCCTACTCCTAGCACACGGTGCAGATCCAACTATGAAGAACCAGGAAGGTCAGACACCTTTAGATCTGGCAACGGTAAGTCTTCATTCCGAATTATTTAGTATTGCTTTAAATGTCATCCTTGTCAAATGTCTCCAGATTAAAGGGGCCCCTGGGTGGCTCAGTCGGTGAAGCGTACAACTTCGACTTAGTTCATGATCTCACAATTCATGGGTAAGAGCCCCGACTTGGGCTCTGTGCTGACAGCTCAGAGCCTGCTTGTTATTCTCTCACTCCCCCTCTCTCTCTGCCCCTTCCCTACTCATGTCCTGTCTCTCTCTCTGAAAAATAAACATTAAAAAAAACTCCAGATTTTAACTATACATTAAATTATTAATTGTGCACTAAATAATGCCCAATGTATAAAAATCATTGTTATTTAAACAATATGCAAAATAAAGTAAAAGCATGGAAACTCATTCTGAAGAAGAGATTGAGAATCAACACTATGCAGCAGGTTCTTTTGTAAATGAGAAATGAGGGACGCCTGGGTGGCATCAGTTAAGCATCTGACTCTGGATTTCAGCTCAGGTCATGAAATCAAGCCCTCAGTCAGGTTCTATGCTGTCAGTGCAGACAGGGGGAGCTTAAGATTCTCTCTCCCCCTCTCTCTCTGCCCCTCACCACTTGCATGCTCGCTATCTCTCTCTCTCTAAAAAAAGATGAACTTATCCTTTAAATACATGTGTGATCAGTATGACCAACTATATGCACATATAGTGTTAAAACATGTTTCCAGAAATCAACATAGTCTACATTCTACATTCTTAGACTTTTTTTCATAGTTAACTCTCGTACATTTGGATATGTGTGTGGTGAGAACATTTAAGATCTATTCTCAGCAGGTTCAAGGTATGTAATACAGTATTAGTAGCTAAAGTCACCAAGTTGTACGTCAGATCTTCAAAAGATGAAATATTTTTTAAAAATTATAGGGATTCTAGTTCTACCTGTAGAAACTGCTGGGACTTTTTGGAGCTGGTGGCCAGGAACAAATGATCAAAAGCCAGTAGGCAATAAAGAGGCACTTGCTAAAGACGAATTTCAGAAAGCATTTGGTCCTTAGTGAAAAACTTACTGTTTTAAAATACAGTATTTTTGTGTTTGTTTTTTTTGTATTATTATTTGTAGGCTGACGACATCAGAGCTTTGCTGATAGATGCCATGCCCCCCGAGGCCTTACCCACCTGCTTTAAACCTCAGGCCACCGTAGTGAGTGCCTCGCTGATCTCACCAGCATCCACCCCCTCCTGCCTGTCTGCTGCCAGCAGCATCGATAACCTCACTGGCCCTTTAGCGGAACTGGCAGTTGGAGGAGCGTCCAACACAGGGGACGGGGCCGCGGGCGCCGAGAGGAAGGAAGGAGAAGGCAAGTACACTTGTGAACGCTGGTTTGGTTTGGGGGTTTTTAAATGAATAGATTTCACTTACCTCTCTTGCTAAGTATTGAGCACCTGTCATAAAGACATCCTGTATTCATACACACCAGTGTACAAGAACTGTCTTCACAGAATCAATCCCTTGACATCGATCTTGTTCTTACTTATGTATGCTCCAGTATACCCATTTATAACCATAGTATTTTATTAACTACCGCGTGAGTCTTATTGAAATTGTATTTTTTTTAAACCCTGAAAGATCATTGAACGAATGGAAACTGAAGCAACAACTAGTCAACTCAGTTTTTAATTCCAGCTATTAAATATTTCACTAAAAGCTTTAGATTATATTTTATAATATCGCAATTAATATAAATGCTCCTAGTAAGATAAAGGTAAATTGTGCTTTTACTTCTTTGCCAAACTCAGAGATAACCTGAAACGTCTGAATTAAATTTCTGTATTCTGGATGATTTTTATGCCGTGTAAAATCATCTGCACAGCTAAGGGTGTCAGAGAGTCATGGCTTTAAATAAATACTGTAACTCCCTTTAGATTCTGCTTTCTGAAAACTTCAGTGTGTTTGTTTTAGTTGCAGGTCTTGACATGAATATCAGCCAATTCCTAAAAAGCCTTGGTCTTGAACACCTTCGGGACATCTTTGAAACAGAACAGGTAAGCTCTCATATGTAGCTGAGTCGTTTTTATTACATGCTAAGAGCTATCAGTTGCTATTCCTTGTTTTTTTTTTTTTATTTCTTAATCACTTACTCAATACATTAAAACTCATCAAATTTCTAAAGAAGCTAGAGGAATCCAGTATTTTACAGTTCTCCCCCAAAATTGGCTAATAGACAGTGGGAGTCATTAACAGTTATTTTGTTATATCTCTATAAGCAGTTTGACTCTGTTTTATTACATGTCAAAACTTAGGCCATGAAACCCCCTCAGAAGAATGTTTTCAAAATCTTCTCTCATTATTTTGTTTCCAAAAAGTGTTGTTCCTTATTTATCTCAATCTACTACTAATGTGACTTGACTCCACTTAAAACCAATGACAGATTTTTATATTAGCAAAATCTTCACCAAGCACTTAACTGTTAAATTTAGAAAGCAAAATAATTCTTAGACAAGTGTACCTTTTTCAAATAGCCTCTTTATGAAGTTTCTATTGTCCATTTGAGTCTAAAATAATGGTGAACCTAAAATTGGCCTCACATTCATAGACCTATCCTGTTTTCACATACATCTTAAATGTATATAAAGGTGTTAGCCTGAGGTCATTATTAAGGTATTTATGAATTAAGACTCTTCTGTTTGTTATTCTGTTTTTATACAGGATAATGAGTTTTTAACTAATTAATGATTTTATTACCAGGATCAGTGTTAAATATTGAATAAATTCCTGATTTTCAATTGACTATTACTACTGTATATAGAATCTTAAAATCAGAAAGGTGTTTAGAAGTCATTAAGTCACTTTCTGAGATCCTACATAGGAATTACTCTTTTAACATCCATGTGGGAAGATAACTTGTTACATTTTGGGGAAGTGTAATAAAATGCTTGTAATTTAAAGTGTGCCCAAATCTGCCCCTGCATATAATCCATTAGTTTTATGTTTACATTTACCTTGTTTTGTACAGAAATCTAAACCTTGTCTACTTAATGTATTAGTTTCATAAGCTTGTTACAGCAAATTACCTCAAACTTGGTGGCTTAAACAACAGATTCCATGGCAGTTCTGGAAGCCTGACGTTCAAAATCAAGTTGTTTTGGTTTTTTTAAATTTTTGTTTAATATTTTTGAGAGAGAGAGAGAGATGGGCAGGAAGGGGCAGAGAAAGAGACATACACACAGAATCTGACGTAGGCTCCAGGCTCTAAGCTGTCAACACAGAGCCCGATGCAGGGCTTGAACTCACAAACTGTGAGATCATGACTGAGCCAAAGCCAAACGCTTAACCGACTTGAGCCACCAAGGTGCCCCCAAAACTGAGCTTTTGACAGGTCTGCACTCCCACGCCTCTGCCAGCTTCTAGGCCCCTTTGGCTTATGGTCGCGATTCTGCAGTTATGCTCCCATGGGCACCTTGCCTTCTCTGTCAGTCTTCTCCTGTGTAGCTTTTAGAAGAACGCTTACACTAGATATAAGGCCTATCTGTATAATACTAGATGATCTCCTCATATGAAGATTCTTAATTACATATGCAAAGATCTAAACAAAGGTTTCCAAGTAGGAAACCTTCATAAATTTTGGTAATCAAAACATGGACAGCCGCCCTTCAGCTCACCACAACATGTCATATAGCCTCTCATATATTTCTAAGACCTAATCAACTTATCATCGACTTAATCTTTCCAGCCACCCACTCCACAAAACTTCTCCTGTTTTAGGATAAATATACCATTTTATCCCCCCAATTATTCTTTATATGGACATAGTTTCCAAATTCTTCACTAGCCTCTTTGCCCCATTCTGCTGGTTTCTTTGTAGGCTTATAGTCAATTAGGAGTTAATTAAAAACACTATTTCTTTTTTATAGTATTTATACTGTGAAGATGTTCTAATGTCTTATCTTTTTTTTTTTTTTAGCTTGCTTTCTTTATAGCACTTATTTTAGTTCATCTTTTATGCTCTTATTAATCAAAACAGTTGAGTAGAAACAGCACTGGACTAAAAGACCTTGATTCTATTATTTTTCTTATTACCTGTGTAACATTGGGTAAGGCCTTTACCATATCACTCCCCTTAACTGTAAAATAGAACGCCTGCAAATGTCCAGATAGTTAAAATTTGCAGTCATACTTGCTTCTGTGCCAGTTTTTAGGATGTGCTTTAATGAAGCATCAAATGTGTCTTTGTCTAGTGGTGAGGACTTTATAAACTTATATAATAATTTCCTTTTCCTTTAGCTTCACCTACCATTGATTTACCCTCTGGTTTAGAGACTTCTAAAATTTTTTTAATGTTTTTATTTATTTTTGAGAGAGAGAGAGGGAGACACAGAATCTGAAGCAGGCTCCAGGCTCTGAGCTAGCTGTCAGCACAGAGCCCGATGTGGGGCTCAAACCCACGAGCTGTGAGATCATGACCTGAGCCAAAGTTGGATGCTTAACCGACTGAGCCACCCAGGCACCCCTGGTTTAGAAACTTCTTACGAGAGTGTCCTAAACAGGAGGAATGTTTTCCCCTTATTCCCTCCCTGAAGGTCTGAAAGCCGTTTTAAAAGCATTATCTTCTGATAAAGCCAAAAGCTATATCTTAATGTATCCCTCCTTCCCAGATCAGCTCCACAATAACTGTGTGATTTCACACATCTTTGCTTAATAAGCCAAAGACCCCATTTGTGTAAATCACAAATAACTTCAATTGACTATTGAAAATTTTTCAGAGGATTTCGGTTTCTACTCTTTCAGTTAGTTTGCAGCATAATTTTATGGTTTCCTTTTTCTCTTTTACTTGATTCTCTCAGTAACTGATTTCCTATGACATGGTTATCTCCTTATTGATCGTAGTAGTTTAATCTTACAGTCTGTCCTTTTGACCGCTTATCCCGTTTGGTCCGTTTTATTGTCTTTTACACTGCACTTCTGTTCTGAGTAAATGGCTCCATCGATTTTCTTTTTTGCCAGAATAATTTCTATATCCATTTTATTAATATGTTGACTATTCCATTTTAGTGTATATTACCTAGCACGGCGCCTTTCTTGCCGACAAATGATTTTACCTTTCTTTGTATTGAACCGTGTTTGTCTTCTGGCCCGGTCATCAGGCAGTCAAATTAATTTTCACTTTGACTGCAAGTGTTACTTGAGTAGCCTTCAGTTATAGAGTAAAACATTCTGTAACCCTTTCTATAGTTTACCCTCAGTGCCTCTGCTCCTGCTCAAGGATACTTCTCTGCCAGTGGGCTGGGGAATATAGTTCTTTTACTCCAGTATTAGGAAAACTGCCTTCGGAACATCACAGCCTCACCTCTTATCTCCGCAATTATTCTCTCAGAAGTCTCTTACCTAAATTGGCTTGTTTGAACACATATACTTGGCCAAGTAATACAGACCTATGTCTTTTATAGTTATTGAAATATAGCACCAGTGTCACTCTGGCCCTTCCTTTATAACATAGCTTCCTGATTAGAGCACTTTTTCTATGAGAAAGGCTGATTTGATTTACACTGCAATTTCTAAATAGAAATGCTATGACTTAGAAGACTTTTTGTGGACATATTTATGGGCAACCTATATATTTTTGTGAAAAGTGATCATATAAATTTTTATTTCAAAATCGAAAGACCACGGAATGGACTCAAGTAAATGAATCGTGCACATGATTGTAAAGTTATTTCTACTCTGACTTGCATCCTTTTATGCCTAAAAGAAAGGGGTTTTTCATTAAAACTCTACTTTTTCTCTCCCTGCCCCAGAGAAAATGAACAGATCTTAGGAACAAAAGGCAACCCTTCCTGAAGTGACATTTGCTTTATATGCAAGATGATTTCATTGATAGATAGATAATCCTTATTTTAAAGATTATAATTTGATTTTTTAATTGAAGTATAATTGATGTATGATATTTATTAGGTTCAAGAGTACATCGTAGTGATTTGATATTTTTATCAAATAAAATTATCCCCACGATAAGTCTAGTTACATCTATCACCAAAGTTATTACCATGTTGTTGTCTATATTCCTTATACTATCCACTGCATTACCATCACTTATTTATTTTATAACTGGAAGTCTATACCTCTTCATCTCCTTCACCAACCCCCCCCCCCAACCCCTACCTCCTCTGGTAACCAAGTTTGCCTCTTATATCTGTGGTTCTGTTTCTGTTTTCTATTTTAGATCCAACATATGAGTGAAATCTTAATGGTGTTTGTCTTTCTCTCTCTGACTAATTTCACTTGGCATAATAGCCTCTAGGTTCATCCGTGTTGTCATGAATGGCAAGATTTCATTCTTCTCTATGGCTGAGTAATATTGTATATAAATACACCACACCTGTATCCATTCATCTGTTAATGGACACTTGGGGTACTTCCATATCTTGGCTATTGTAAATAATGCTTCAGTGAACCCAGGGACGCATCTATCTCTTTGAATTGATGTTTCTGTTTTCTTTACATAAATACCCAGAAGTGGAATTCCTGGATGATAGGATAGTTCTATTTTTCATCTTTTGAGGATTCCCCATACTGCTTTCCACAGTGGCTGCACCAGTTCACATTTCCACCAACAGTTCCCTTTTCTCCACATCCTTGACAACACTTGTTATTTTTTTCTTTGTGATAGTAGCCAGTCTGACAAGTTTGATCACTTTGATTTCTTTTTTTTTAAATTTTTTTTTAATGTTTTTATTTATTTCTAGGAGAGAGAGAGACAGTGTGAGCAGGGGAGGGTGAGAGAGGGAGGGAGTCACAGACTCTGAAACAGGCTCCAGGCTCTGAGCTGGCAGTCAGCACAGAGCCCGACGCGGGGCTCGAACCCACCAACCGCGAGATCATGACCTAAGCGAAAGTCCGACACTTAACCGACCGACTAAGCCACCCAGGCGCCCCTGATCACTTTGATTTCAATGTGTGCTAGATATAAATAACTAGCCCAAGAAACTTGTGGTTTCCTGGATGTAACAAAGTTATTTTTGACGCGTTAAAGATAATTTTCAAAAAAAAAAAAAAAAAAAACTATTTCTAATAGTATAAAAGCCCTGAATCTTACAGCAACATATCTAAAATCCGTCTAACTTGTTATATTGGATATTTCCATTTCTTTTATTGATAGGATAGTCTCAGATTCACCATTTTACACATTTTTATAATACTCTCTACTCCGTTTCCTTTTTTGTCCTCCCCTTAACGATTTCTATTTACCAGGCTCTGTCATCTTTTTGAAGTTTCTCTCTGACTCCTCCCATCCACTCCACTCCATCTTGACTTTGTTCATGCAGTCCCTTTCCCTTCCAAACCTGCCCTTCAGAACGATACCGTCCTCCTCATGAAGTACAACTTTGTGTGGCTCTGCTGCAATGGCTCCCCAGGAGGTTTTGCATACTATCCTAACATGATCTAAAAAGCCCATTAAGATTATCCCTAACCTGCTGCTCTATCCATCCCTTCTTTTTTCCTGTATGTATATTGTACGCTCACCCTCTTGGACTTCAGTGCTGAGAATCTCCCAAATGTTCTGTATTCTCTTACTTGATATTCCTTTTGCACATGCTGTTGTTCCCTTTGTCTTAAACAGCTTTCCGTTCTTCTGACGGATCAGCTCTTGCTTCTTAGCCAAGCTATCACCTTCTTCCAAGAACCTTTCCTGACCCCCTTCTGTCCCTTCCATCTTTTCCCGCCCTACCTACAGCCTTGGTCAAGTAAGAACCTTTCTGAGAGTTCCCATAGGGATTCCTACAAAACATTGACCAACCTGTACCATGTTTTAGTGTTTACTTCTTTTCTCCTTGGTAGAGGAAATAGCATGAACATTTGTGGTTCTACCTTGTGTTTACCGGCCCTACTCCTTTACCACCTTTGGACTAGTTATCTACCTTTCTGAACTATAATGGGAAGTTTTAGAATTGTTTAAGTAGTTACTTTCTTAGGAAACACCTAGCATATAGAAGGTATTCATTAAATATATTATGTATTAATGAATGAACAAATGAATAATAATCTGAATTCCTTAGCTTATTGTTTAAGGTTTTCCAGTGGCCGCTGCCTGATAAGTATGGGGACAAATTGCGTACCATGTAACCCCAAGCAACTCAATGTTATTTTAGCTTTCTAGTCAGCCCTTTGAAGAAATATAAGCAGGGAAAGACCTATAACAACAATCCGCCTCAGTTTCCTCATGAGCGCATCAGTAGTACTTCTTGGGTGACTGTGAGGAGGAATTGAGGTATTCATTTTATAGATGGAGCAATATAATCAACAAATATATTAAACATTCTTCATTTCTTTTCTGGAACTCATAGAGAGCACCCTATACTTTGTTTGCCTGGTTTCTGCTTCTTCCAAATATACACAATATGCACAATTCAGAAAAGCTTAAGTTTCCTCTGAATTGAAGCTACCACATCCATTGAGATCCTGTTTTTACATCAGCTTTATTTGAACCAAAGTTTAAAAGGAAAAAATTGGGACATCAGTAATGTAGTAAACCCTGTGCATGGCTTCCAGTGTATATTAAATTACATGTAGCTAAAAAATGTACAGGCACCTATTATTATTGTGAACTATTCTGTCTCCAAGATCCATATTTCAAAACTGTTGCTTTTTAAAAGCTCTGCTCAAAATTTCCTTTTGGTAATTGGAAGCAAATTGCCCATTTTGTACAATAGAGCAATCATTTCTCAAATGGCCACTTAAGAGCAATACAGTAAATTATTTCCAAAGAATGAATGGTATATGCTTGCTGCACCGAGAAGATCAGACTCATTATAAATACTTCATTCTGACAATAAAAATCAGTAAAACTCCAGACCTAATTTGTCAGGTTTCTTTTAATGTTATGTGTAACTAAAAAGGTAGAGAATACTACATACAGATAGTTAACACATATCTCATTTGAGTTGGGAAAAGGGTATCTAAAAGGATTTCTCAGTTTTCCAAGGAAAGAGAAAATTAAAGGCTGATCTTGTAAACTGGTATCTGCATTGTCATAGGACCAGCTTCGTCTGAGCTAGAAAATGACATGCTCAGCCCTCTAGCAGTGTTTCTGCCCAACATTTTATCCTGTGCGTTCAGAACTCTGCCACTGGGTGGTGGTAGAGTCACAGTTAACTGTTTCAATAAAGGAAATGGATGATTTTGAGTCCCGATGGTAGCCAGCTGTCTCCATTTGCAGGGATGAAGAACCAAAAATTAAAAACCACTCTTTTTACAACAATAGAATGTTAGGCTTCAGGGACCAAAAATTAAAAACCACTCTTTTTACAACAATAGAATGTTAGGCTTCAGGGACGGTTACATCTGCGATTTTATAAGAAAACTTAAAAGCCATCTACTGTCTCTTTTCCATTTTGGAATTTTGTATGCAGCTTCTATGTAAAATGGTCTGTAATTGAACTAAATACTTACCATCTAAATCTCACCACTTTCTAAGGTAGCCTTTTCCATTCTTGAATATTTCTCAGCACTGGGAAGTTCTTCTTTATCTTGATATAAAATCCCACTTATCTAAAACTGCTTACCCCCTTGCCACATTCTGTTTCATTGTGCTAATAAACCTCTCTCCCACTCCCCTACCATTTTTCTCTGCTACCTGCTGGATACTGGGACCCAGTATTTCACCACTTTTATGCTTCTGGTTGTTCTCGCTTATATTTTGAGGCAAGCAAGAAGTGGTAGAATTAAATAATCAAAAGGATATATAGCAGTGACCATTTTATATTTGTATAGCATTGTTTCTTCTATTTTAATTCACAAATAACTGGAAGCACAGAGTTTTTCAAGTGAGTAAAAAGCTGATAAGGGGCACTTGGGTGACTCAGTTGGGTAAGCATCTGACTTTGACTCAGGTCACGATCTCACAGTTCATGAGTTCAAGTCCCGCATAGGGTGAGCTCAAGCCCTGCTTCGGGTGAGCCCCACTTCTCTTTCTCTCTCTCTCCCTCTCTCTCTCTCTCTCTCTCTCTCTCTCTCTCTCCCCCTCCCTCTCTCTCTCTCTCTCTTTCTCTCTCTCTCTTCCCCTCGTGGGATTCTCTTTCTCTTAGCCCTCACTCACTTCCAGCCTCTCTCTCTCAAAAAAAAAAAAAATTGATAAAATTATCACAACTTAAAATTGGTTTATAAAGGAGACAAGAGAATTTGTTAATTTGGATGGATATTATAGCATTAAAGACAAATGGAAGAACTGAGGAACAATTCAAGATTTAGCAATTAATTTTGTTACTTTTTTTTTTTTTAAGATTACGCTAGATGTACTGGCTGATATGGGTCATGAGGAGTTGAAAGAAATAGGCATCAATGCATATGGACACCGCCATAAATTAATCAAAGGAGTAGAAAGACTCTTAGGTGGACAACAAGGTAAGGAAAAATAAATAAATAAATCTCAGAAGGAACAAGTGAGTTGTCAGGGCTGGCATTTGAGCTCAGGCGGTCTGAACCCAGGGCACATGTGCCCGTCCGGTGTAGCGCCTCCTGCCTGCCCCATCTTCCTTATTGCTTGGCTCTCCCTCCAGCTGCTCTAGCTAGCTGTCTACCCATTCTCCCCTCTCCCCTCTCACTTTATACCCTCAACATCTCTGGAATCTACACTTCTCTCCTTTCCCACTGCTGTCTAATCCAGTATAAGTCACCCAGTCTAGGCCACTGTCATCTGTCGCCTTGACTGTCACAACTGCCTTCGAGCTTATCTCCGACGCTGACCTTCGCCTCCCCACCAGTACCTGCCCTGCATGTACATAGAAGACTCTTTTCAAAATGACTATGTGATCATATCACTCCATTGCTTAAAACCTTTCAACAGAATCCTGTCGCTTTTAGGATAAAATCAGACATTCGTGACATGGCTTTTCATAATCTGACCTTTCTCTCTGACCTCATCCTGAACCTTTCTCCCCACTCACAGCTGTCAGCTCAGCCTTTTTCCTCCCACCATACTTTGCTGTTACAAGCCTCCTATCTTTCCCCTTTGTCAACCTCCATTTTTATCATTGTTCTATTTGTTAGAAGTGCTTTTACCATAGGAAAGTAAAGGTAGAAAAAGGAAAAACTTGAATTAGCCCCTCTGCAGCCCATAAAATTTCAAGAGTAGCATGAAATTAAATGTTAGCAGATTTTGAGCTTAAGTCTTGCTTATTTATCTGCATTAAATTAACAAGCATAATGAAATGAAGAAGAATAAAATATTTTAAACTGATTATAAGTGACCATCTCAAGCCATCTCATAGAGTTTTTACAGGATCATTCTTCTGTTTTAGACCTGACTGCATTGTGATCAGTGTGTTTCTCTTTTGTATCAGACATAGTTTCATGTATGTTTATGAATGAAGTCAGTTCAACAAAAATTAGCTGAGCCCTGCTGGGGAACTCTGTAAGAACAGATAAAGTTGGTCCCCAGTCACACCTCTGTTACTTCTCTTGTCTTTGGATGTACTTATTCAATATAACCTTATATATTAGGTTTGAATTGCCAGTAATTTAGACTGCTTCCAAAATGTCAATTATTTATGACAAGGTTTTCCCTAAAATTGAGGCTGAGTAGTGTGGACTTTAACATACTCATTTTTCTTTCCTACAGGCACCAACCCTTATCTGACTTTTCACTGTGTTAATCAGGGAACTATTTTGCTGGATCTTGCTCCAGAGGATAAGGAATATCAGTCAGTAGAAGAAGAGGTAATGTGCATCAAGATTTTTCATGCTCTTCCTGAAATCTGTGGTTAAGCCTGTTTTTCCAATAGGGCTAAGCTTGTCTTATAATGATTTACCATCATTCACCTGACTTAGCCGTGGGGGGCCATATTGCCCAAATTCAGATAGGACTCTGGATTAGGACTATGCCACAGTGTTCTCACATCCTAATAAGCCTTGGGTGTCCAGCGGGTGGGCCAGAGATGTCCAGTTTTCATCCCGGAAACTTTCCTGAAACTATGCAAGAAAGAACCCTACCAGAACTATTTTCTTAAACTATTAAAATGCTACCTAAGAATGATAGGGAGTGAGAATCTTGCCTCATGAATAACAAAGATCTTCTTGTTTTTATTTTCAACCAAAGTTATAAGATGTGATAATAAAATAATATGCCTCCTGTTTGTGTGTACCTGTGCAATCTGCCTCATAACTCAGGTCACCTTTCAAGTCTTCAGTCACGGGGTGAAAGCACCGTGGTAAGGCTGATGGATGGCCCTCTTGCTAGACAGATGCCATAGAGATTCCCCCTCCCCCTCGGGGTAATGCTTCATTTCTTACACATCATCAACACAGTGCTGGTGGTATTATCACAGTAAATAAGCTGCCTAACCAATTCCATAATTTTGCAGAGAAAGGCGTGCATTCGTATTTTTGTTTACTGTCTGCCTTTTAATCAGTGCTCGCATTGCTCTCATCCTGGGAAGTCAGGACCATTACAGCTCAGGGTGGCATTTCAGCTCAGGCCTGGCCAGCCTGTCAGGAGAGCATCGTATCTTCTAGCAGCTTAGCGCCTAATCACTGTTTTACTGGTTTCACAAATTTGGATCATAATGTCAAAACTGTGATGAGTAACTTCACAGACAGAGCAACGAGATGGAGAATTAACTCTTTTGAGTCAATTCTGTGAGGAACGTGGGTCCTCCAAACGTTTCACTTTTCCATCATTCTTTTGAATGTGGAAAGCGGGAGAAGAGCAAGGACTGCCCAGAAGAAGGTCACTCCCCTGGGTCATACGTCACAGCCAGCTTTCCCCAGTCTGTGCAGATATACCTTGAGGCCCCAGGTGAAAGAGATAAAATAGGATATCTCATCCAAGGAACAACTTACTGATTTTTAAAAATCACGCTTGTTTAATGAGTACTCATCGAATGTGAGGAGCTGAAGTTTGACTTCTCCCCGGCGCTGCTTCTCCTCACTACCGTAACATAGCAGTGCCGGTGGCTTAGTGTGATGCTTTATCTCTGTTTCCCCACTGTGCTGCCAGGAAAGTCTTTCAAAGCTTTTTTTTATTAGAAAAGAAAGAAAATGTAGAGGTTTAGTATCTATGTCTCTGACTTACTGTCTCATCAGAAATACTCATCCTCTAAACTTTGTTGAACAATTTATAGCGAGCTCCCATTTATTTCTTAGTGTTGAGTCTGAGACTCTCAGTAAAACAGTATAACAGAAGGTGAACGTTGAACAACAGAGGAATGTCTTAGAATTAGACGCTGGCGTATTTTCAGGAAGTTATTTTATTTTGTTCTGTAGATGCAAAGTACAATTCGAGAACACAGAGATGGCGGTAATGCTGGTGGCATCTTCAACAGATACAATGTCATTCGAGTAAGTTTTTAAAATTTCAGGGTAAAAATTAGATTGCAAGGTGTGCCTGAAAGTCAAATATAGACAATGACAAATTTTTTCTCAGCATCATATTTTTAAACTGCCAAGATAATCAGTCATCTGCTGCCTGGCAGTCAGGTGCTCCCTTCCTCTTACCCGTCAAGACCGTACTTCGCTAGAAACAGACTGGGTGGAAACAGAAGAGCTACAGACGGAGGCTAGATCCGCTGGTGTTGCCGGTACAGGTGCACTGAGGAGACCCGGCCCACCCACAGCTTGAGACTGTAGCTGACAGAAATTTTTACCACCTCTTCAGAGCAGTGTCCAGAGCCTGGATTTTCAGTCTGAGTCAGCAATTGTATCGGAATGCATATATCTCTTCATCTCAGTATCTTAATCAATACTATGAGATAGATGTGCTTTTTCAAGGGAGCATCATAACGATGAGTAAAATCTTTTGAGAACAGGCTTACACCAGTGCCTTGGAAGATACACCAGTGCACATCAGAATTCCCTGGAGAGATTTTAGAAGAAGCTAGATGTACAGGCCCCTGTATCCTAAAACTCAGTAAGTCTGGGAGGAGTCTAGGAATGGCTTTCCTTTTACTTTAATTCTTCAGGTGATTTTGAGGCACAGCCAGGTCTGGTGCAGAATAACAAAAGCCAGAATGTTAACTTAGCTACGCTACCTGGCAACGTTACCATTTTCAAGGAATGTTTTAAGCAAACAAAACAACAAAAATTGAACCTTCCTAAAAGAAAACATAATTTTCATTTTAAATGATAAACTGCCACGTAACATTCTTTGCACTCATTTGCTTCATTCTTCCTCATCCTTAAAGATTCAAAAGGTTGTCAACAAGAAGTTGAGGGAACGGTTCTGTCACAGACAGAAGGAAGTATCCGAGGAGAACCACAACCATCACAATGAGCGCATGCTGTTTCACGGTGAGCATAGGGACCACCGTTAGCTCTCTGGGCTTTTTTGCAAATTCCAGTAAAGTGAAGAGCGTATGTCATTGACCATAACGGTGTTGTGTTAAAAATGGGTGGTTTTGATTTTTTTAATTCCCTGTGGGTACTGGTTTTGTAATGCATTGCATGTTAGTACGGGCTTCCCAAGGCGTGCAGAATGAAAATAATTTAGCTGAAATTGTTCTAGAACTTCTGTTGCAAGTTGAGCCATCTAGATAGTGAAATCTTTTTATTACAGTTTAGCATAATTGTTCCAGTTTGTCCGATTATCTGTTTTTGTGTAAAGTAAGATTGCATGGAAAATCTATATTTTTAAAGCCACATTGTACTTTGGTATCTAAAAGCTCCTGCCATCTGCAGAATCCATATTACATCCTTGCTTGGCGAACACTGTGGGTCCCCGCTGAGATTCTAGTACAAGAGAATAATTTATGTAAGGTAGACCATCTTACAACTTCATTTATGCATTACTAATTACTTAATATTAACCTGCCAAATGCAAAATAATTTGCAGCTAATTGGGATTCTAGAGAAGATTTCAAAAACTGATCTTTCTGTGTTTATATTTTTAGGCTCTCCTTTCATTAATGCCATTATTCATAAAGGGTTTGATGAGCGACACGCATATATAGGAGGAATGTTTGGTGCCGGGATTTATTTTGCTGAAAACTCCTCCAAAAGCAACCAGTACGTCTATGGGATTGGTGGAGGAACCGGCTGCCCCACACACAAAGACCGCTCGTGTTATATATGTCACCGGTGAGCACCCTGCCCCCGTATAGTGGTTGCTGCCTCGGGTCACACATGGATTAGTTTCTCAGGCTCTGCCCATGTCACATGTTATCCTCAGTGTTGACAATGGATCACACGGGTTCGGGGTTGGATCCGAATAGCTGATCAACCTCTGTCCTAATAGGAGAAATGGCAGTACAATAAATAGCGGTGCTGGGAAACACCAGATATCTGTCAGCCAGTCGTAGGTTACGTTGAAACTCCCTCCACCTGGACTTGCTCCCTGAGCTTCACTTGCTCGGGTTCAGAGTCAGAACAAGAAAAGGTTGAGAGTTTCATCTCTCGAAGAACCTCTGGCTTTAGACACATTTGAACTAAGACACACAACTTCTGTAAAGAAGTTGAGTCTTCAATTTACTTCTGATGTTGTGAGCAGTGCTTTAAGGCAGGACATATAATCAGCCTTGAGAAGTCCAGTTTCAGAACATTAACTTTGGATTTCATAGTGAACAAATGAATATTGGCTTTTTAAATAGAATCTTAAAACTCAAATTCAAGAGAATGCTGGTACACTCTTTCTGAAGTCAGTGAAAAAATACCATTCTCTTCCCTACCATTGGAAAAAATACAAAAGAATTGTACATCACAAAGATTACAGTTGATTGCATTTTTCTTTTAACCAGATGGAAAGTCAGGTTAATTAGAGATCTTGTAATTCAGAGGAAAGTTCGAAAAGACCCAGATAGCCTTGAAATTTATTAGAGTTTTTGACCTTAAAGCTTCCTGCTTCCCTTTACTTTGAAAAACTTACAGCTGTCAGCAGTTCTAGGATGGATCTGGTATGTCCGAAGGAACCTTTCTATAGAAGCCGCCATGGTTAATAACACACAAAATTTCCCAGGGATACGTAACATGCAAAAACTCTGTGCTGCTGCACACCTATCCTAAATAAACAAAGAAATGAGCCTCGATGAAGACGAGCAGTTGCCCATGACAACTAGGCACATAGGTTTATGTCTGAGCCAGGATTTCCTAGAAAACAGAGCCCGAAGCTAAAGCTGATGTACCAGCACTTTCTTGGCAATACCGGGGAGGCAGGAACGAGGCCACACGAAGAAGTGAGGTGGAGATGGAGGCAGAGCAGGGGCTGTGAGATGCATCCGTGAGTTGGCCTGTTTCAGAACGAGTGCAGGTGGCTGCTCAGCCCATGAGACCGCGTCAGAGGTTGTGGGCACTGCTATGCCTCACAGGAGGGCGTCGTGGGAGGATGTCTGGCTCCTGTCTGGCTCTGGTCACTAGTTGCCCCACAGGATGTCGTGATCCCTGTGGCTGGGGCTGCTGCATCTGCGCCCACAGCTTCGTGGGCCGGTCCTGCATTTTCTCCTGCCTCCATGACTACAGGGAAGTCCAGGGCAGGAAGCAGAATCCAGGAGGTGGGGGCCTGTCATGTCAAGCTCTGCAGGACCTAAGGACTGGGAGTAGCCATGGCAGTGGGCCCGGCGGGCTGGGCGGGCAGGATCCAGTGACCTCCCCCAAGTGCTACCATAATGTGGAGACGGAGCTCAAACACCTCCCACTAATACAGAGCCGAACCTTTTCCTCTGGGACCTACGGGAGATGCAGCTGGTACCGAGCCGGCACTCCAGACAGCCATCAGTCACATCGTGCTAAAACAGCAGGCCCAGGCAGGACCCATTTATAGGGGGTCTGGCCCAGAATTAACTCAAAATAGTATCTCTGATTGGTTAGAATGCAGAGATCACACTCTGTAACTAAAAACAAACCATTTGACTGAATACTAACTGTTTTACACGTTTAACAGTGTGACTAATCTCACTGACTAAAGTGTTTGTAGTGTATATTAAAAGTTTGCAAACTTTTATTTTAAAGGGCCACATAATAAATATTTTAGGCTTCGCAGGCCGTATCATCCCTGTCACAGTGACTCACCTCTGCCCTTGTAGTGCAAAAGCAGCCGCAGATGACATGCAAATGAACGTGTGGCTTGTTCCAATAACATTTTCTTTACAAAAACGGGTGGCAGACTAGATTTAGCCCATAGGCCATAGTTTCTCAGCTCCTAGTTTATATAATACACTTTCTTCCCAGTCAACTTACTTTTTCTCTGTAATATTTAACATCTACTCCAATTGGTGTTTCACCCAAGTAGGATTCCCAGCCATACATTTAAGCTAAGTATTTTTGTAATTGATCCACTTTTATTATTATTTGTCTCATCCTAGTTTTTACTTCTTCCTAATGAGTAAACCCAATCTTAATTTCAGATGCAGCTGCCATTTGTTTATTTGCTTCAGGTTCCTCCTGTCCATCCTCATAAGAACTTAGTTTTTGCTAGTATTTCGCTTTTCCCACTAGTCAAAACTCTCCAGGTATTTTTCTGTCATTGGTTGTGTAACTAATTTGTGCCTGCTGACTGCTTCTAGTAAATCAGTCTGTCAAATCCCATCCCATTCCTCCTCACATTTGAAAGTGACATTTGAAACTATCTTGCCTTGTGTTAAATATTTTTTTTATAAAATCAACAAACCTAACACTTTTATCACTCTAAGATTGACTGCCTCCTTCAAAGCATCACTCCTTTCTTTCCTTTTCTTCTGTAGACAAATGCTTTTCTGTAGAGTGACCCTTGGCAAATCCTTTCTGCAATTCAGCACCATGAAAATGGCTCATGCCCCTCCGGGACATCACTCAGTGATCGGGAGACCGAGTGTGAATGGGCTGGCGTATGCCGAATATGTCATCTACAGAGGCGAACAGGTATGCTGTTTGTCAGATAAGCATAAATAAGCTGCTAAGATGTCAGTGCATGGAGAACTAAGAGCTTCCATTTAGAGAATTCTTTTTTTTCCTTTTTTAAAAATATTTATTTTAAAACTTTTACTACTTTTTTTTTACTGGGGGCAGAGAAAGAGGGAGAGAGAAAATCCCAAGCAGGCCCATGCTCACGATCAGTGAGGAGCCCTACACGGGGCTCAATCCTGCCACCATGAGATCATGACCTAAACCAAAGCCAAGAGTTGGACGCTTAACCAGTTGAGTCACCCGGGTGCCCCTAAAGAGTTTTCTGGATGGATGTACTTGCTCTAGACCAGTCACTGAGTTGAAGCTCTAGATTTCTGATCATGACACTTAACATAGAATAATAGCTTTCTGAGTTGAAAAGCTACAGTACATTAAATTCTGTAACTGCTTGAGGCTCCAAAGTAAAATTGTCAACAAAGCAGGGAAACTTTCTATCACTTTTCAGCCCAGTCCTTAACTCTCACAGTATTGCTAAATGCCTACCGATTTGTCTAAAAACAAAGATCAGTTTGTCTGAACTTAATTGAATTTCAAATGGATACCTTAACTACCCTGGTGGAGAAGAGGGGGGACAAAAAAGGGAAGGCAGAAATTAAATACAAGTAACATGAGATCAATATCTTATTATATGCTATCAGTTGTGGGCCAGATAGGATATGGAGTAAGGGTAGGAATTGCACACAAATCCTGAACTCCATTTAGTAGATAAGTTGATTGCGGGGAGTTAGGCAAAGCAATTTAACGCCTTTAGGTGCACTGTAGGATTGAGCAAATGAGTAAATGTATTGATGTTTGATTTGGGACCTGGGATTCTCATCGTGGAAGAACAGACTTACGAAAGTGCCGTAGGGGGGAGAGTAAGAATGACTCTGTAGAGATGGACTGAAATTGGAGGTATCAATAGGAACTCATCATTTTCAATATATGTACATGTGTGCACTTGTAAAAATACACATTATGTATAGGTATGTGTGTAAGAGTCTATGTAAGCGTATGTATGTATATGAGCATATATACACTTATATTTCTTAGCACTCTCTGCTGAAAACAAGGAATCCCCAATAGCTGTGAACACACTCAGACCTAGATCTTGGCCTCTAATACCATTCCCCGCTAAAAGGAACCCACCCTCTCTGGAGAAACAGCTAATTCCAGGGCTGAAGCAGAATAGAAACAAGTGAGTCTGGAACATCCTGTTTTGCCAGCAAGGAATGAAGTACTCAAAAATGTGGTGGGGGCATGTCACAAGGACACAGAGTTAGTATGAAGGGGCTCCCACTGGCCAAATCTGGAATAGTTGGAATACCAAAATAAGTACAGTAATAAATTTTAAACCACTGGGAAAAATATTTCGAAGTCATGATTCTATACTGATAACAAATAGGTAAATAAATGAAAGTGAAAAGAAGGCTTTTGCCTATAGTAGAAAGCCAAGGGCAGAGGAGGACATGTGGAGGGAATACTGGATTTGGGAAATCATCATCTTGAAACCACTGTGGCAAGAATCATAAATGGATGCTAAAGCTAGGAGATAATTTTGATTTAAAAAATGATATTTGCATGGTATTCTTATTAACTACAAAGGAGAAGAAAACAGTAATTATGCTTGGAGAAAGGGGCCAGTACTTTGACCAGATGATCAAAATTAACATCACCAGTGAGGGACAAATAGAAATAGAGTGTGCCTCCAGGTATATTCTGAGAAGGGCATATCATCTATGCAGTATTCAAGCCAAGAAGGCATAACCCTGGTCTAATCAAAATGAGAAATGTTCTAGTAAAAAAAAATCTGGGAATGGAGCACCTAAGTGGCTCATTTGATTAAGTGTCCAACTCTTGATTTTGGCTCAGGTGATGATCTCACAGTATGTGAGGTTGAGCCCCACATTGGGCTCCATGTGCTGAAAGCACAGAGCCTGCTTGGGATCCTCTCTCTCCCTCTGTCTATGTCCCTCTCCTGCTCATGATGCGCTCGCTCACGCGCTCTCTCTCCCTCTCTCTCTCTCAAAGTAAAGAAATAAACTTTTTTTTAATGTGGAAAGATTAGACTTTTCAGAAATGTAAATATGATAAAAGAGAAAGGCTTTAGAAACTTTCCAGATTAGAGGCATGAGGGTGGCTCTGTTGGTTAAGCATCCGCCTTTGGCTCAGGTCATAATCTCACAGTTCATGGGTTCAAGCCCCAGTGTCAGGCTCAGAGCCTGGAGCGTGCTTCAGATTTCTGTGTTTCCCTCTCTCTCTCTCTGCTCCTCCCCTGCTCGCACTCTGTCTCTCTCAAAAATAAAAAAATAAACTTTCCAGATTAAATGAAACCCAAGAGACAAGACAACTCACTTAAGGCCTTGCCCCCCAATTGAATCTGGTATTAGAAGAGAAACAGCATTATTAAATCCACTGAGGGGGCACCTAGACAGCTCAGGTGATTAGGCATCTGACTGTTCCTCTCTCAACTCAGGTCAGGATCTCACAGATCATGAGTTTGAGGCCTGTGTTGCAGTGTCAGTGCAGAGCCTGCTTGGGATTCTCTCTCTCTCTCTCTCTCTCTCTCTCTCTCTGCCTCTCCCCCACTCTCTCGCCATGTCTCAAAAATAAACTTTTTAAAAAATTGACCAAGAACATTGGAATATGAAGGATAGGTATTACGTCAGCATAAAATTATAGTTCAATCCTGTGCTTATGTAAGTGAGTATCCCTATTCTTAGGAAATAAATATTTGAGGGTTAAAGAACCATGATGATAAAGAACTTATTCTCAAGTGGCCCAAGAAAAATATGGGCCTCTGTCTGTCTCCTTAGTATATAGAGAGGTGGGGGAGGGCATACATAACAAAGCAAAAGGGGTAAATAAAAGCTTAACAATAGGTGGATAGGGGTAACGGGTGTATACAGGTGTTTGGATGGCATTTTCATTTTTGCAATTTAATATGTAAGTTTGCATTTTTTTCCAAATAAAAAGTTTTTAAAAACTGCCAAAGAACAAATTTGTCAAAATTTTCTGTGTAAATCAGAAACCCCATACTTGTAAAGAAAATGCTTTCACTTTGATCCAGCAATTCCACTTCTAGAAATTTGTGTTCATTATGATCAAATGATGACCACCACCAAAAAGAAACCCACAAAACCATACAAGGATGGCCACCACTGTTCTGGATTACCATAATGAAAATTTTAAGTTGCCTAAATATTCAACAAAAAGAATGATTAAATAGGTGTTAGTATGGTTATATGCCTGTGAGTTTAAAAAATATATATTTACAACATTTATGTTAAACAGAAGCAACCCCAAAACTTAAGAGCAGTTATCTCTAGATATTAAGATTTTAGGTGATTTCAGTTGTCTTCACTATACACTTTTCAAGGAAGTTACCTATAGTAAAAACAATGTATCTCATATTTGGGTGGAAAGAAATAATGAGGGCTACTTCAAAAATAATAGGTTTACCTTTCTGATAATTGCCGATCAATCATTTCCCCAGTAATTTGGCTTGATAACTTGTTTAGAATCTCTTGCTAAAAGAATTTTAGAGAATGATGTGGTCCAAATCTATTTGAAAGAAAAAGGTCCCTTCCACAATGAAATGCAGGTGATAGTAGTGTTACTTCAGGGAAGCACCCTTGTTCTTCCATATCGGGGTGTACTTGCCTGCATGGATATTGTTAACTGTATTGTCTGGTGACTGTCATTTTCCGTGTCCATTTTAGCAGTTGCTCCTAAAGTTTGCATGAAGTTTTCTTTTGCTAACTTGACTTCTTTCCTCTTAGTTACACCTTAAATCCTTTACCCTTAGTGCTAACACTTTCAAGAGCACACAAATGTCTTATTCAGAGGGTTGATTTAAGGAGTATCCTTCATCATTGGTGAGATTGTTTCTTTCTTTAGAATTGAAAAGATATGTTCAAAATTATGCTTGGAAGAAAAGTGGTTCTGGTTTTAGTATATGGCTGGACTCAAAATGTCAGAAGTATTTTTGTATGTTGTACTTTAAGCATCACATTAAATTAGCCCTAAAGGAGAGGTAGTCTCTGGCCATTGGTTGCTACTGAGATTTAGCCTTAATTTTACAGAAGTGACATAAACAATGTAGTTACTTAACCTGGAAAAGAGAAAATTGTACAATAATTTATACCATGATTTTCAAATACGTAAAATTATTCATGAGACCATGACTTCCTCTTCATCCCTGTGAAGAATAAACACAAAGTGTTTGAGTTTAGATAACAGTGGGGATTTGGATTAAGGAATGGCTCCTGAAAGGCAGTTAGTTACCAAAGTGGTTGTTGAATTTTTTTCTTACAGGAACTTAAAAAAAAAATACATTTCATGCTTTTAGGACCAGGGTGGACGTAAAGTGACTTGACAGGAAGTAACACTTGTTGGTTGGTCCTGTGCCCTTCTCGTCCTGCGGTGAAATGATTCCCTTGTCTTATGTCCCTCCGGACTTGAATGTCTGTAGTCAGTATCTCAGCTGCACACACAGTGCCGTAGCCTAACTGCAGGAATCAGGCCCTGGTCATTCATACCACTGGAGTCTTAGAATCTGCCTGCCTAAAATTGACATGTGACAGGGATCGCCTTAAATAGTGCGCCACCAAAATGTAAACACCAGCATTACCAACTCCTTTGCTTCAGCGGCTTTTCTGCAAGCAAAAAGAATGTGTCACACGAAGTATGGTAGATATGACATTTCGCCGGGACAAAAAGAAGTAGGAGTGTGCTTCACACTCATTTTTGACACTTGGCACATGCCAGCTTGGGTTATTTTTTAATTCTTCTTTTTTTGGGTCTGACTTATCTTCCCAAGCAAGCCTGGAAGCTCCTTGACAGCAAAGGACCTTATCTCACCGCAGGCTGCCTTTTATACACAGAGATGCTCAGTACATGTATATTGGGGGTGAATAGTTTTCTTGACCATTAAACCATCTCGTTGACTAGGCAGTTTGTCCATTTCTCCAGGA